TCAAGCTTGCAATTACGAGATGACCTTTTATCAATGTTAGTTGCAGGTCATGAGACTACTGGTTCAGTATTGACATGGACACTGTATCTTCTAAGCAAGGTACTTCTACTATCATCAAAGTATGTTGTTTAATCTGCTACCAAATAGTTGAGCTGCAAATCAAAACTCTGCTGGTTGCAGTGTGAAAATACTTCCTGCTTTTCCCTGGTTTATGTCACACTGAAAAGAGGTGGCTAGGTTGTAGTTCATGTCTCTGGCAGCGCACAACAATGCTTATGAAGGTCAAGGTCTTATCATATCTAGAAAGTCAGTTCTAACTTTCTTAGTAACCTTTTCAAGCTTTACCTTCCCGGGAATCTGCCTAAAATCTGGAAAGCCTATAGCTTCTAAAATTTAATGAATCTGTGAATATGCATGTTTTCTCATTTTGTTTATTTAGGAATCATAGATATAGGTGATGAGGGATGTAATTTAAAAGGAGAATATGATACTTTGTTCCTCTATTTCTAAATGCAGGATTCCTCATCATTGCTAAAAGCACAACAAGAAGTTGACAGAGTCTTAGAGGGAAGGCCTCCTGCCTATGAAGACATAAAGGATCTCAAGTTTCTAACTAGATGCATAACTGAGTCATTGCGTCTATACCCCCATCCTCCTGTAAGTTGCAACCTGTCTGGCTTCCTTTTAAAGTAGATTCATATGTATGATACAAAGTAGACAACAAAGACAAACCTAGTAACTTTTCCTATATCTTTTCAACTAATTGACCCTTTTTTTATGGTTTCCTCTTCCCTGTACTTATAGGTCTTGATAAGGAGAGCTCAAGTTGATGACATTCTTCCTGGAAACTATAGAGTTAAGGCTGGTCAAGACGTAATGATTTCAGTATATAACATACATCATTCTTCACAGGTGCTAAGCATAGTTACAATTACTTTTCCTAGTTAGATTTTTTTTTTTTTTTTAATTTCCGGGAGTTGTGATAACTAAAAGATGCAAGTTCCTTACTCAACAATTAATTTAGTTAAATATGAAAATTCAGTAAATTTTCACCTTCGCAACTTGCTAGACAGTAATACAGTTGCTTCGTGATATGAATCTTGTATGAATGCCAATAGCTGTATAGTTTGTTGGTAAAGTGTTGGACTTTTAATATCAGATTCAATCTCTGGCAACCTCAAATACAAAAAAAACCAAAAAAAAGTCCTGTGTGAAATTCCTCATTTTCGCTTGTTAGCATCCTATGCATCAAAGTGTACCTGCCTTATCTCTTTATTGAGTTTATAGAGCACATAACCAATCAATCTTTTGTTTCCTTCAAATTTTACATTCTATGTTTCAAAATTTCTAATCCTGTCAATTTGTTTACCTGTAAATTAGGAAAATTTACCGTTCCTATCAGCCATTTTCTTTGGCAGCAATAACTAATATTGCTGCGCTATACTTATTGTGTCAATTCTGTCTTTTTTTCTTTCAAGGTCTGGGAGAGAGCTGAAGAGTTTGTGCCTGGAAGGTTTGACTTGGAAAGCTCAGTCCCTAATGAAACAAATACAGATTACAGGTACTAAAAATTTCTGAATCTAATACAAGAAAACTACCGCATTTTACTACTTCACTCCCCAATATCCTTTTCTCACTTGCTTTTCGTTCTCTCTATTGTATCAATATGATGATAATATGTTGAAACATGTTCAGGTTCATTCCATTCAGCGGGGGGCCTCGTAAATGCGTTGGTGATCAGTTTGCTTTGCTGGAGGCTATTGTTGCTCTTGCAATTTTTCTTCAACGCTTTAATTTTGAGCTGGTTCCGAATCAAAACATTAGCATGACCACCGGAGCCACAATCCATACAACAGACGTAATTTCTCCTCATAAATTACCTCTTTTTGCTAAGCATTAGAAATCATCAGTTAGACTGTTGACGCGGTGCTTTTGTTGCAGGGCTTGTACATGAAACTCTGTGAACGCAAGCCTAATTTTGCTTTTAGTTCAACAACTTCTAAGTGAGCAGCAGATTTATTTATAGTATTGAATCATTTCATGTTATAGTAGTAATGCACCATCGTGGATCAATGAACTATAATAAATTCAGGTTGTAAATGAAATGTTAATTTGCCTATTAATATTCGTTGCAATTACAATTAATGCAAGAAAATTGTGAGCATTAATTTTAATTGCGTCTCTTTTTTTTAGATTTGTAATTACTTTGCTATAGATTGTGGTTAAGAGTGTTTATTCAGTTAGTTCAATTAATTTCGAATCAAATTATTCAAAATCTAATTAACTTGATTATATTATTTTATTTTCGTTAATTGAATTAAATTTATGAATTTTAAAAATTAACCAATTGAATATAATTCGGTCGATTCGATTTTTTTTTTTTGGTTAACTGTATAATAAATACATTTAAATTATATTTTAAGCTTTTAATTTTTCATATTTTAAACAAATTAAATAAAATTATCTAATAAAATATTCAAATATCAAAATATTATGTTAAAAACTCTAATAAATTATGAAATTTAATGATTAATTTCATGTATTTTTTGTTTTACATTTAAATTATGTTATATTTCGATTAATTTTCGGTTAATTCAGTTTTCGAATCGAATTAATAAAAAATTAATTTTTTTTAAAAATCATTTTCATTAACTGATCAAAATTAATTTGATAATCAATCGATTAACTAAATTAAATCAATTCGGTAGATTAATTTGATTAAAATCAAATTATAAACACTCGTAATCGTGATGGTTGATTATTTACTTTTTATTTTTTAACAAAAAAAGAAAAACCATAACATAGAGATAAAAAATGAGATTATAAATATTATAATTTAAATTTTAAATTTATTAAATATTATTTTTCGAAAATGACTATAGAAATCGACTGGATTTAGCAGTTGAGAAGAGACCTTACACTGAACCTAACTGGCAACTTCCAAGTCAATGGCAGCCATGACCAGCGTGCCGGTAATCCCAAGCTATGCAAAGTCATGTCTCTCCCCACATCAGGTACCCCCAAGCCATCACGACTTAAGCACATGGTTGGACCAGATGCATGGCGGCTTGAATTGATCGTGCCTCTTCCACTTATTTCACATTCAAAGCATATCTATAATTTGTCACACCCTTTCAAACTTAGTCTTTGGTCTTCAAACACATGAAAACAAAAACAAATAAAAAATGAAATACATATTTTTTCTTGTGTATTGTGTGGTAAACAAAAGATTTATCTCAATCACCATTTCAAAGTTCAAAGGGATGAAATTTATTCTGGCGTAAAGATAAGGAAACAATTTTAAGTTACATATATTTTTTAGGCATGCATGTATTAACAATTGTATTCACCTTCGCACATATAATCTAATGATTATTACAGGCCTTATTCATGGATTTCTTATAAAATAAGTTTCACCACTCGCAGAAAACATCTTTTTTTAAAATATCTCAGTCGTCTTAATTTTGAATATTATTTTTTTAAATCTCATGTTTTGTATATTCATATTTGTTAAATTTATATTTAACATATATAAAATAAAAAAATTATTAGATCATAATTCGTATTAACACATCATATATAAAATATATTTTTTAATTAAATTTGTGTGTAATTTTTATTAAAATTTTATTATATTATTTTTATATATTTTTATATATTTTTGTATCATATTATCACATCATATTTTAAATTATCAAATATAATTATATATATATATTATATATATATATATAAGGAAGGGAGTCCGAAAAATAAAAATGAAGTTACTTAGTCTAATCTTCTGCCAATTTCTTATGCACTAGCTAAAGTTGCTTCAGCTTGTGTTGGTAATTACAGAAAAGGCGGGCCATCTATTTCTCAAGTGGGAGCCATTTTGAATAATTTGGAAATTGAGGTCTGCCATTGGAGTATTACCACAATTTTATTGTTCTTAGTTTTTGACTTTGATCATCAAAGAGCTAAATCAGATTGAACACACGTGGGAAAACTTTGTGGGCAATTATTGAAATGGAAAAATAAAAAAGATAGAGATAGGGGTTAGAGATGATAAATTATCCAAAATCGATAAATTTTGATTTGATTTAATTTGATTTTATAGTGTTGAATTTTTTTTTAAATGAATTTTAAATTAAGTCAAATCGGAGAAATTTTTAAATGTCGAAATTAAATTAAAAACGAATCAAATTATTAATTTTTAACTTGTCTAAAGTAGGAAGCGAGTCCAATCGAAACCGGTCGAGAGGGTTTCAACGGCTTGTCTTTGGACAGTGATTATTAATCTTCATTTCCGAGTGGAAATGGGGGATCTTTTTGGTGGTGAAGGGGACCCTTTCGCCCTTTTATTAGTAGATTTCTTTCAATCACTTCCTTATTCTGTGTAACCCTTTTTGGCATGTCATGGCTCCATCGTTTGGCTAAAACTTCTTTGTAAATCATTAATGAATTATTTGTGTTCAGTAAAAAAAAAAAACAGTTGTACAATTTGTTTATAAAATTATTTTTTGGGACCCCATATCATCTTGATTGAGACCATTATATCCCTCCTTTTCAGTTAACTAATGCTATTTGATGCTTTAACATATTATTTATAATGACCTTTTGCATAGTATTTATAGACATTAATTCTTTAACCTGACTGCCCATTTGTCTAATTGTCTTGCTCGTCTTTGGAACTTGGCATTTATAACTAACTTTGAAAATTTTAAATATAATATAATGATATGATATAAAAATAATACGATTTAAAATTTTAATAAAAAACGTAAATAAATTTAACAAAATAAAAAATTATATTTTATATTTTTATATTAATATAAATTATAACACGTAATTTTTATATAAAATATGATAAAAATACACGAATTATCATATCTATTTATTTAGTAAGAAAAAAGTAAGCTAAGATTTTTTTTTCTTATAGTTGATCTAAGGAAAAAAGATAAAAAAAAAAAAAACAATTGCAAGTACTTCAGGTAATACTGAGTCCATTAGAATAGATCGATGTTCTACAAAAGTCAACACAAAGATTTCCAATTCCAATTCTTTTATCAGGTCAATTTCCTGGACTCTAAGAAATTCTTCTTCTGGGGCTCACAAGATGAGATGTATTCAAGAAAAGTGGCAAAATCTGTATCCTTATAGCGCCTTGGATTTGCTTCGTCAATCAGTTTCGGCGACGGTCCAACCATGCAATTGAAAGGCAGACTGTGCAATGAGGCCACTGATAGCCGAAGCTTAGTTGGATTCACAAAAACTCTGTGCAGCACACTTTTGTATCGTCCGTTGCTAAATATCTAATAAAAACAACAAAAGTAGAAAGTCAAAATCGACAATCATTTTCAGCTTTTCGGTTCATTTAGCGTATTTCTCTTTTTTCAACCCTAATTACAGAAAAATTTCAGCTCACCTCAAGGTGATCACCAACGTTAACAACAAATGAATTGGCCATTGGTTCAACAGTTATCCATTTTCCTTTGTGTTGAATTTGCAAACCTTCAACTTCATCCTGGAGAAGAAGGGTTAGGAATCCGTAATCCGAGTGAGGTGGCATCCCTAAGGTAAGGTCAGGTTCAGGGCAGGGAGGGAAACAGTTAATCACCATTAGCTGGCTTCCATCATGGAATTGCTTTAGTATTTCATCATCTTCTGGTGCCTTGTCGTCCTGGGTCACACACCACAAGCCAAGGCTCTCCAGGATGGCCTCCGTGATTCTAAGAAACAAGTAATTTGTTTCCTTTGCGTAGGTAGCCGCCAATTCCCTGTAGAAATATATAAACAAAACAATTAATTTAATGATTTTATAATCATATGGATTACTATATTCTCGTTCAACTAATGGAAATAGAAGGTCTTGCTGTAAAGAAAGTTGATGTTTTTCTTTTTTACCTGAAGTCCATGGGAGAGGAAGGCCAATGAGGGAGAACATCTGATAATGGATGGCAGACAAGCTTTAAGAAGTCTCTCCAACAGAACACAGAATCTTTGATCTGGTTTAAGCTAGTTCCGTATCGAACAGGTGAGGCCATGTCAGAGGACATGTATTTTGCTCTTTCCTCGTATGGGAGCCCAAAGAACCTGGTGCTCACGTCAATCATGCTTCTTAGAACTTCAATGGGAATGCCATGATTTACCACCTGCATTAAAGCATGGGAAAAGAACAAACTCTTCATATTTCAATTCTGATGAATTCATTTCTTCTTCTTTTATAATTTATATCTTGAGCCCTAGCTACCTGAAAAAACCCATATTCTTCGCAAGCAGAGGAGAGGGATTTGAGGACTTGGGACCGGTTTGGGCCTTGTAATTCACCAAAGTCGATTATGGGCAGTTTAACATTAGAGTTAGCCATATTTAGCTGCTCTTTATGATCTACATTGGGTCGATCAGATGTTGGCAATATATACTTGTTAGGAAGTTTGCTAACTCCATTTTCAGAAAGATGCTTCACTCCTTTCTGGAACTCAGTTTCTGTTGCATCATCGTTTGTCATTGCCATTGCTAGGGGAGACATGAATTCCTGTTGAAAACATTTAAGAGAAAAGAAAAATCAATTACCATAAAGTTTTTAATGTTAATGTTAATGTTTGCATGTGTATGAAAGAAATGAAGAGAGACTCTTGAATGAGAAGAGCTGACTACCCACCTAGCTCTTTTTGGTGACAAAAAAAAAAAAAAAAACTGAAAATAAAGGAAATGGCAGTGAGATTTTGTAATTAACCAAGTGGTCAGGGATATGAAGAAGGGCTTGGGGTGTCTAATCTATTTATAGGAGAGAATCAAGGGAATTGATACAGGACCAACATTTGGAGAAACCCGTTTCAGATTTATGAATCCCAGAAACTGATGACTGGCTCCATTATGTAACAAAAACCGTTGACAAATAATCAGTCAAAGGGTCTAGAGAGAGAGCACCGACTCGTTCATTTCCTCACCATTTACCACTACTAATTCTTCAATTGTATTAACTTCGTCGTCTTTCCTATTTGCCCCTACAATATGATGATTTACCAAGAAGCTGCCCCTCTCTCTCTCTCTCTTCCTGTCTGATGGCTATAGCTTTTTGCATGCAGCTCATCGTCAGTAGGGTTCCTTTCCTATCCTTGGTCACTGTGATTCTTAGTTTTTATTTTATTTCTTCATTTAGGAAATTTGATCTATCAGTTTGGTTTTTTTTTTTTTTTATTGAAGCATGTAATAATTCTTCCTTCTACTTGGTCAAAAACAACATGTCCGTCAACAGTCACCAGTTGTGATTGTGATCAACCATAAAAGCTCAATACATGTCTAATAATACCTTAGTTTTCTGGTGTATATACTAGAATTAGTCTCATGCTATCTGTAAAATCCAATTATATATAAGCACATGAATTGAAATGTTAAGCCGCCTTTGAAAGAAATTTAAGACGTACTACAAAAACTTTGAAACCTGAACTGGTCTTTTTCTCTGTCAAATTACAATGGTTTCTGTTCTTCTTTTTAAATTATATATATATATAATTTGCATCTTTATCATATATATTTAGGTAGGCTTAGTAGGGTTCATTCTCATGACTATACGTAGGATCAACCGACCAACCAATAAGCATCTCATTTACACTTAGATTAATAACAAAGTATTATTAAAAAATAATATATAATTAATCAACACCCTAAACCACTAGGGTTTAAGGCTACCAAGTTTGATGGTAAGAAGATGATAACATTTTGATGAATGCTCATCTCCTTGTCATCATAGGTATACTCTTGACAAATCTTAATTTGGTTAAATATTATTATTTATAAATTAAGTTAACAAAAGATGTCACTATACTGTCCAAGACTGCAGGCTTATGCATTCTCTAGTGAACTATATTGATAAATTGGAAATGTACAATGCATAAAAGATGTCATGTGACTAGGAAGGTAGAGACCCCATTAATAGTGAGTTTTGCTATATATATATATATATATATTTGTAATTAAGAGAGAGTGGTTTAACCTAGCTAAACCATCAAGATCTTGCTTAATTAATTAATTTCCCTAAATCCTCGAGAAGTTTTGATGTGATTGTTATCAAATTAATCATATATCTCTCTCTTGCATAGCTAGGTGTATATTCTACACAAATAGCGTGTTAGTAGAAAGTGAACGTACACATAAACATTGACGTGTCAAATTTTTTAAATTATATTTGAACAAGTTAATTAAAAAAATTATCAATGAATTATTCTAAAGTTTTTGCATGGATAGTTTCCACCTTGCTGCTCAATATGTACGGAGATCATTATCCTCACATTTAAATTTCAATCGTGTGTGATTTATAAATTTAATATAAATTTTCCTTAAATTTGTTATGTACCTTGATTATGCAATGAGATAATCTCACTTCACTAAAATTTTTTTCCGTAAAAAAAAAAAAAATCAATCATGGGTGTTTGTCCTTTAAAAAGGGTAAAATGGAATTGTGTGCTTATATATTATCTTTACCATAAAAAATGGGATTTGGTCTCCTAAATTAATCCATTGTATAAATAATTTTCTCAACTTTTTTGTACTAAATTATTATTGATGAAATTATTATAAAAAAATCACAGTCAAATGAACTAAAATTCTTGAAAAAAATACTATTGCTTTAACATTTTTCAAGCATTAATTTTCTTAAGGCCATTTTGATCATTGTTTAATCGGCAATAATCTACATGGTTTTTAAGATAGTGTTGTTTATTTTAGCCTAAGCCTCATCCAACTGGTGGAATGAATATTTCTTTTTTGGTCCAGTTTTGCTGGATTTGGGCTGAAAAACTTGATCCAAACTTGAATATTTCTATTAGGAATTGAAAATGCAGGAAAATAATGAAGGATTGGGAAATAATACTGTAAATGACTACAAAATCATTTGAAATTAAACCTGGTATCACTGGAAAAATCCCAATTACCAGAGTTGCCATTAATGCTGCCAAATTCTTTTGGTGAATAAGATGATAATCTGCCAGAACTATACCACAAATTGGATCCAACATTGCAGAGTGGCCAACTAGCCATGATTATGCAAGGCTGTCACTAGTTTTTACTAGCCTCCAAGGTTGAAAAGCAATGCCAAGCAATGCAGTCAGGAGAGCTCCATTTCTGAACTTGAACTTGGAATGGCTGAGAGTGACCAGTGCATTTTCTGGGGCAACAACATTGGCTGCAATTTTGGTTCTGATAGTGGCTAGGCTTATTCCAAGAATGGCTAGGATCATTGCTGTGAATCCTCCAATTTGGCCAAGAAGTTGAATTGGATTACTTCATTAAATGCCAAATGTAATTGCCCCCCATGAAGATTCGAAGGCCAGCCTGACCAATAATTTGATGTCTGGCTCTTGACATAAGCCATTGCGTGTCCCTGGTGTTCCCTAGAGAAACAAAGAGGATCCATGAGACAGTTGGATCAAATGTCTTCATCCTGGTGATTTTCTAACGAGTAGAGCTTCCGAATTTCTATGTATAGATACAGCTGAAAATAACTCGATTGTATTTATGCACGTTTTAATGCAATTAATGTTCCTTAATTCCTAGCAAAATTTCCACTTTAATTTTGTCAATGGAAAAGCCTAAAAAAATATGTGAATTGTAAAGGAAATGCAGGCAATTTTGCACTACTTTCTAGTAGATACTTAATTTGGCTTTTTCCCCTTCCAACCATACAGGAAAATTCAAGCCCCTTACTCAAAGCATGCAGATATTTATACACGGAGTCAGAATACTCAAAACAATTCGGCCTCTAATATATAGTATTAATTAGGAAAAATGCTGAAAACATTACGTGCACGAGAGTTTTTTTTTTACAAAAAAATTATAGTTTAAAAATAAAGGAAAAAATTATAAATATTAAAATTTAAAACCTGTTAAATGCTGTTTCTTAAGAGTTATTATATGAAGCAACTGAATTAAAATTTAGTTTTTTTTATTATGTTATGTAATAATTTAAAGTGTTTATTAATTTAATGTCTAATTAAGAATAATAGTAATTTAATTTAAATGTTTATAACATGTTTATCGAGTTTGGACAGTAAAAATCCTTTGATTTGTTTCACCAGAAGTTTGCATTCACCAAAAAATGGATTGTGTCGTGATAAGGAGAAGCACCGCCTTAATTGATGTTTTTTTCCTCTTGCATTCCTTCCACACTTTTCCATGCTCCAAGCATTATATCTAATTAATACATATCCCAGAAGATCACTTAGAAAATTTAAGAAAATAAATAATAGCTTTAATTCATATTTATATGATATTTTTTGTGAGATAAAATTATGAAATTTTTAAATTAAAACGGATAATATTTTATAAGTTAAATGCGGATATTAATTTATATATTTTTGTTATACTCTTCTCCATGTGACATTTTTATGGTTCGTTTGTTTTTTTATACTGATGAGAGATTAAAATCGTTTGATCAATACAAATTTTAGACTTTGCTAACTACTAAAATCATTTTAGATTAAATCAAGTAAATCATATGAAAAATAAATAAATCTTTCGATGTAAGATTAGAGTGTCATAATCTCTCCACTTTTAAAACTTAATGTCTTTATTAAGCTAAATCTAATCACAAGATTAAGATTATACTAGACATTAAGATTTTAGAAAAGATCACACTAGATATTAGGATTTTAGAAGTGGCTCTGCAACGTCTTACTGTACTTAGTAAATCTCACAATATAATACTTAGTTCTTTGGTAATTACTTTGATATCATTTGAGAAGATCTTACTCAATCTGTAAGATATTATTTGCTTTGATAAAAAAATTTTATGATTTTATCTCACAAAAAATATTTTATATATTTAAATTTTTACATATATATCATATAATATCTACACATTTTTTAATATAAGATCAGAACGTCACACAAAAATTTTTTTATGTAACAAAAAGTACTTGAAGTGAAAAGAAGAAAAAGTCATGAAATCCAAATTGATTTGAACGAGACCTCTTCAAATTTTTTGGTAAGATTTGATGAAGAGAAAAAGTTGAATAGTCCTCTATTTTAAGAATTAAACAAATAAGAAAATTTGGTTCTTTATGTGAACCGCCCATGTGGCTGCTGGACCCATTTGAAAACTACTATAAAATGGACTCCACAGAGACTTGCTTTTTAATTTTTTTAATTACAATGTACACCTTGCAACTCTCAATAATTAACATTTGTAAATTATTTCATTATTGGTTTCTTCACAACATATAGAGAGAATTTGTTGTAAATGGGACTCAATTCCAAAAGCCAAAACTTACTCTCCCTTTTGTTTTTGACTCCCTAACCAAATTATGATACCCTACATCTCCCTTTATTTAGGACAATTGAACAAAGACCCCAAACAATTGTACTCTTTTTTTTTTTTTGGGTACAGAAATGGTGAATTGTGAATGTAGTAATACTTTTTTTTTTAAAATAATTGAGACAAAGAATTTAACATTTTACAAATAGATCACATGAATGTTGACATATTAAGACCCAAAAGGTGCGCGGTGAGGAATTCCTTTTCTTCTCCTCGCACTTGAAGGAGGTGGCGGGTTAATGTCTTGTTGTGAGCCTTCACGCAATTCTCCTACTTCCCCTGATATGCCTAATTCTCTTCTATCCATCAACATCTCATTCTTGGCCTCTAAGGTAAAACTTGCATTCCCATTTCTCTTTATTCCTACAAGCTAAGTTAATATTAAAAATGAGATTAAGATTCACATGAGTTTTAATCAATTAAAACCTTAACCCAAGCAAATTTACATACATACATACATACATATATTTATACACACAGCTTGAAAAATATCTTTTATGCATATGATCATATATAATAATTGATAATAGAACTGATAATGATGATCATTGTGGTGGTAGGATGGTGATGTTCATATATATATATATATATATATATATATATGAAATGAGGGATGATGATCATGATGTACTATTATGCATGTTGATGACAATGTGATCCAATGGTGAATGATGATGAGAAGGAAATATGTACAATGTGAAGCAAATAGAGAAAATTAATGGAGGCAAATTATGCTAACCTTACATCCCAATGAACAAAAACGAAAAGGGTCCAAGAGGCTTCTTCCACAGGTTTCACAAATATGAGCTACTCCTTTTCCAGATTTTGGTTGAGGCCTCTCATTCAGAAACAGAACCCTGGCACTGTTTATCACATAAGTTTGTACCCCACTTATATCCAATACCTTTTGAATCTCTGTAACCCTCACTACATCATGATATGAAGATCTCCTTATCTAAAAAGCAAAACACCACACCCCCATTATTGCAAATACCAGAAAAGAAAAAAAAACAATGTTTCTCCATTGTTGAGTTTACCTGAATTACTTGATGATCTTTGTGTTTAGAAGAGCGGCAATAAAAGCAAAATGAATCTCCATTACAATCTAAACAGTACATGTTACATTCACCCCTAGCTGCATCTCCATGTGTTCTGCAAACTGTGAAAAAGGCTGTACTTAGCAATGACTCTAGCCATGGCGGCACCAGCATTGCAGCCTGTCTCGGGACACCAAGAAAATGAATAATGAGACAAAGAAACCAAACCAGGGAAGAACTAAGAACAAGAACTAGAACAAGAAAGAAGTAATGGCAATGGCATTACCATTGTTAATGAAAGAGAGCTTTTTGCAGCAATGGGGGGGTTTAGCTTTTGATCTCAAAGAGAGAAAGAGAGGGCTAAAACGAATTTGCAGCTTAGAATTCAACCAACAAAACAACGCTTGGACTAATTAAGGGACAAGGCTCACAAACAAATGCTGCAAAGTCTAGGGGGTGGTTTCGACGGATTAGATCGATGGTGGTGGCTGAAGTTGATCCACAGCCGTTGGATGAATAGACAAGGATGGCTTTGGCGCCTACGCTACTTTTGGTTCCTCTTTTGCGTGTTTACTTAGGCACAAGGTCGGCCCCCTTAACTATGCAACGACGCTTCAAGCTGTTTGCACAATATGAGCACCACCAACCTTTGTGCCACATGTGCAGGCCTCCACGTGGCTTAATCAGGATGGTTGGTTTTATATAAAGGGTCCCAATGCTATATAGTTTCTTTCAAGTTTGAGTTTTTTTTTTTAATTTATAAATTGAGAGATAATGCCCTATGAATGATGATGTCCTTTTCATAAAGCTCCCTAAAATTGGGCAAGGATTTACAAATTAAATGAATTTTATATCATTATTTCTTGACCCTTGTTAATCTTTTTACTAACTATTATTTTATTTATTTTATTCAAAAATAATCTTATCTATTATAATTTGTAAGTGAAGCTTAAATTTAAGATGACACATATATTTTAAAATATAGTAAAAAAAAAAATGTATCACTTTTTTAATTTCACTTATAAAATTAAAAATATTTTATAATCATTGTATAAAAAAATATTTTATTAATTAAATTGTAATAATAAAATTTTGTTTAAGTTCCGGTGTCTTTATAAATGTTGAATTCATAGCATAATAAAAATGCATATATATATATATATATATAATTGGGCAATATTCATTTCATTATTTTTTTCCCAAGAAAATATTTTATTTGCAAGTCCTTATAAAACTTGTTCTAATTATAAATCATAGAAATGTTTAGATTTTGACAAATGACTTCATGTCACACCCTCATTAAATCAAGCTGTCCAAATTAAAATGTGTAGCAAGAGTCCACTTTTTTTCTGATTAATTTGACTGTAAAATCACATGTTCAACCTCTCATAATGGAAAGGAGACATGAATCACATAAGGGGCACATCAATCAAAGAACAAAATGAAGATACATCTTTTTTCCTATTCCAAAAACACAAATTGATCAACCATTTAAAAATCAAAATTACTTAAAATGAGATTAATATATAATTAAAGAGTAAAAAAAACCCACAAAAACCTAATTAATGTATAATCTCCTTTTAGTGTTATATTTATATAGTATTAAGTAGAATAAAATACCCAGCCGTTGAAAACAATAAAATATAGTTGTAGGGTTGCCGGCAGCACTGTGGTTTTTGGTGGGTTCCAGGTTTGCCTATCAGGAAAATGTATTCATATTATCTTATGCGCCATTAAAGTATGACAAATTGGAAAATGACATGGTCTGGCTTACAAAGAGATTCAAGATCTTCATAATTTAAATGTAATGCCGATCACCATAGGTATCAGAATCTTATATATTTGGAGCATATATCGCTACAACTCGTTGAAAGCGACACAACATTAAATCGTATTATGAAAGGTAATTTCAATGTAGGTGGATGTTCAAATTTGGGTTATCAAAGTCACCCAAGTTGCTATCATCATCCGGTTTCATTGGAGGTCATTTGCTGCCGTGGAGGAGAAGTTTTGCATGAGAACTATTTCCTACCTTTTATTTCAATTGAAATTATGAAACTTAATGCGTCAGTTTCATATATATATATAAGAAAATTTAATTTATACTATGAAATTATAATAAGATATCTTTTTGACCCTTTTACTCTCTAAAAATTAAATTTTCTTGTGACCATGGACCTTAAGGAGTGGGAGTTCTGTTAAAACAGTGGTTTGCTTTTTAACAATTTGTGAAAAAAGAACATGTTGAGAGCTGAGAAAAGGGGGTTTCACACAAATGAAATAGAAAAGGACTTGACTTAGGGTTTTGTCCTTTGTAGAACTTCAAAAAACAAAAGCATTTTCTCATGTGAAAGAAAGAAAAGTTGAGAGAAAAGGTAGGTATAGATTATGATGGGAATCAAATGGATGCGAATTATGCGGTAAAATGCGATGCAAAATCTTATGCCTAAACAAACAAGTTAAAAAAGTAGGTCAAGCAATCTAAGATATGACATGTTAATATAAAACGAAAATTATACGAATAAAATATAAAAAAATGACATAATTTAAAATTTTAACAAAAATTATATATAAATTTAATAAAAAAATATATATGTCATATTTTTATATTGATATGTATTGTAACACGTAATTTTGATATAAAATATGTTATAAATATATGAATTATCAGTATTTTATACAATAAAAAATATGAATTATCAAATCTATTAAAAAAAAGAGAAAAAAAAATCCCCTACAGGAACAACACATTTTAAGGACTTGTTTAAGAAATGCTTTTGATGAGCATGTTTTGAAGGTGGGATAGAAAAAAGCATGAATGCAATGTGAATAATAAAGTTAATTTTTCTAAATAAATGCTCATATCTAAATTAATCAGCTTCAAATTTTCAGTTTGATAAAAAAAAAATCGATAAAATTCAAGCTGACACAAGTTAATTATTGAATCGATTCGTAAAATTTAAAAACTCGGAGTATAAATATAAAATAATAATCATTTTTTCTGTTATCTAAATTAAAGATAAATTTTCTAGGATTTGTGTGTTTTTACAATATTTGAAATTTACTTACGGCTTACAAGGGTTTTTCATTGTTATAAAAAAACAAAAAAAAAAAGACCAATAATATTTTTGCCAAAAGAACAATTGTTATAATAGCATCATTAACATTAATTTCATGCATATGATAGTGAATTCTATATGCTGCAACTTTGCCATTTCATTTGGTCGACTTTTCCTTGAGGTGGCAGAAAGTGATTGGTTTAATTCATAAAAAAAAAATAAATAAAGGGGTGGGATAACTTTGTGTAGGAACCGGTGCTGGCAATATGGGAACGTGATTGTGAATCATAGTAAGCTGTTTTTAGTTGTAAGATCATATGTAATAATTAATATTGTAATATCAACTAGATATGATAATTCATATATTTATATCATATAAAATATTATAATTCATATATTTATATGATATTTTATATAAAAATTACATATTATAATTCATGTAAACACAAAAATATAAATAATATATTTTTAATTTTGTTAAACCCATATATAATTATTATTAAAATTTTAAATCATGACACCTTAATATCTATTTTTTATATCATGTTTATGTCATATCATTATATCGTCAATTATCAACATCCATAAATGACAAATAGAATCAAAAAATTTGAATACCATCATATAATTTTATTACTATTATTTTCACGTTTTGTTTAATTTCCTAATTACATTTGATGATCATCCAATCATAAAATCTAGAGTTAAATAAAAAATTAATACAATGATTTATATATGTATGTCAAAAATATGTAAGCTGGGATGACCTTGGAACCACCACGAGAGTGGAATTCCATTAGAAAGTAATTAATTTGGGTATATAGTGAACTATGTAAAACATTTTCCTCAAATTTTGGATGCTTATGGAATAGAATTATTGTTTCGGTAAAAAAATAAATAAATTTGGTTGATGAAATTTTATTTTGAAATTTTATTTCGAAGATAAAGAAAAACTCTCGAAACTACTAAATTTTTTATGTTTAAACTTTTATAATTTTAAGAGATAAAAAAAAAAAAAAAAAAGATAACTACAAGCTTGTCCAAACTTATCCTTTACAAATTTTGACGCTGAGGAGTTTTATTTTTTAATGAGAAGAAATCAATTATGTAAGTCAATTAGAAGCATTTGAACCAAGAATATATATCCGAGTTGTTGTACGGAGAAATAGAGAATTAGAAAATTCGTGAGTATAAATTTCACTTAGGTTAATTGCGAAAAAATATTACTTATAATTATTATAATATAATTAATTAATCAAAATTTAAAATTATATATGAAATTCACATTTATAATAATAGATCCTTACATAATTTTTTATTATGATTGAACAATTATAATATTATAATAAAAAAATTGTAAGTGAAATATTATTGTTTAATTGTTAAAAAGAACGTTGGGTAATCAAAGGGTTTTTTATAATGCTTTTAAGAATTAAGACCCATTTGGATGCATGATGGAGGGATTTCCACAATTCCATGATGCCATTTTATGATTTAAAAGATTCAATTATACTCATAATATGGTTGGGAATGTTTCCATCACACATCCAAAGGATCCTTAGACATTTAAATTTCTAATACAAGCATTTTCATTGCAGATTCAAGTGGCTATCATTTGAGTTTCTTTTCCAACTTTGAGGAAAGAAGAATAATTCGAATGTAGATGTGATGAATAAATGATGTTTTCATATACCTACTATCACGAAGTTGAGAGACTCACTGAGAGGAAAGCTCTCTCTTCCCCTACAAATTACAACAAGTATAACAGTCACAAACAAAGCTATTTTTAAAGGAAAAAAGTTGTCCCATGTTCATTTCTTCCAACCTGGATAGATAGCCCATTTCCAAGTTCAAAAGATCATTGAGCTTTGTATCAATGTCTCCGTTTCTCAATGAAAAGGAAAACCCAAATGTGATCCTCTCAAAAGGGACATTGTCCCTTCCTTAAGACAGGGCAAATTGAAGGAACCTTTCAACTTATTGTCAATTAGCAACGTAAAAAATAATAATAATCTTGTAAGATATTGTGATTGTCCATGGCAATATGTCCTCTTTCCTTTTGGATTTCAATGGTTGGTTCTTTTCTGCTTCAATGTCATCATTCGACTATAAGCTAGCTTTTTCGCCATTTGTAGTCTCTTTCTTTTCAGCATTCCCCGGCTGTTCCTTTGTCATGGGAACTAAAAGAAAAATCACTCTTTTTGGGTTTTAACTGATTTCCCATCTGTTAGCAGTTAAGCTTTTCATTTAAAAGCTTCGAGTTGGTATTTGGGATAAACGGGTTCAAGGCAACAAGTTTGCTATGGAACTGTCAATTCAGGTTCCACAGTATTTAACTTGTTGCGTGTTTAGATTCTAATAGCTTCAAGTTTAGCATAAGAGGAACGATTGGCTCTTCTCAATCCAGCTGAACAAAAACAAAGTGGAAAGATCGTATTAAACACAATTGATTGGAAAAAGTTCAAAGGTTTATTTGGGTTTTTGGCAAAGAAAGCGAGAACATATGAATTTCATACACCAAGCAAGAACAAGCAACAGCCTCTCAATATAAAGGTATACAAATACAATCAATAACTATCTCCAGGAGTTTTCATCATCCAATTTGAGAAGTTTTAGCAGCAAGATGAATTAGAGCTCGCCGGTGGTAACTAGTCCGGAGCTTCTTGTACTTCTGCACAAAAGTCCCTAGATCTATCTCCCTGTCAAGGAGCTGCCTGTGCACAATTTCTGATTCCTCTTCTGACTTATTCATAGCATCTGCAAAGAGGAAAAACCATCCTTTATTTCTTATGCATCAATGATCTCAAGCCTGAGCCTTAGGAGTAAACTATATGTACCTTGAAGCCTATCGGTAAATGATGCAGGGGAGTAGAACTTCAAAGTCTCTTCTTTCTGTCTCTCAAGCTCATTTAGTTTTTCCTGAGCAGCTGCCAATTCTGTTGTGCGGATAATTCTGCACTGTGTACACGTAAAAGAGAAAAAAAAAGGTTTTGGAATTGATATACTGACATTAATCAATGACAAAAATATTAATACAAGATGTTGTGAATGCCTCACCTGGTTTCTTAGCTCCATTATTTGTGGTTCTTTATCCAAATTGTTCCCTGTTTATTAAAAAATATATAAATTGGCAATTGTCTACCTGTGCACATTTCTATGTATGAAATTTATGGCATTATCATAAATATTGTGGAATAAGAACTTACTAGTAAGCTGCAAAGTCTCCTTGCGAAGTTCATCTCTTATCTGGTAAAAGTTATCAAGAAAGAGTAAAAAGCAAACAAAATGATGAAATACACAGTAACGACAAACATGGTTTTCTTGTTGCATGCATGTGTAGTTCAATCAAATGGTATTCCAACATCAGATAGCCAAAAGAGAAACCACATCATGATACCAACAAGGAACTGGAACAGTATGTGCAGTTTACATTAAAATAGAACAGAGTAAGGTCCTAATTGGTGATGCATGGTACTCCTATTTAAAAGCACACCCAAATGAACGAAACAAGGGTGAGCCAAAAAGATTCAGCTAACAGAATTTGACAGGCTAGCCACTACCAGTTTAATCCTGATTAAATTTTAACAGAAGATTATCTCCAATACCAATAAAACCCTGACATCATCTTTGCTTAAGTATTTAGAGTTAAGTCTTCCTTTCCATGTCTTTTAAATAGTCCTAGTAATCACTGACGAATAATCCCTTATAAACAGGAACATAGTCCCACTAACTTCCTAAAAAATCAAAACTTTATGAGACCCTAGCTCCTTAGTGCTATGCACTTTTAGGCTAATAATGGCTTGTCTTCATAGCCCCTAAAGTATCAGCTTTTGGGCATATGACATGGCAACACCAGCATACAAAAACTAGCAATATGAGTCAACAATCTGAATAGCCATTATTTATACTCTTGATATTGACGTCAGCAATAGACAATCGATCTCACCAAACCCACTGGTTAACCACAACCCTTGTTTACGCTATGGCCTAACAAACCATCAGAATTTTTGAGACCAGAGGAGAGGACTACAAACGAAGAACATGGTACATAGTGCAAAAGGACAGACAACATGCAAAATTCTTACTTTGAAAAGGTAAAATCAAATAAAACAGGCCAATTTTGCTACTTACATTGTTTTGAATTTTAACCTGGTCAACTGATAGTAAGAACTGATTGTACGAATCCTTGTCAGACAAAAGCTTCCGTAATTCATCAACACTAAGAAAATAAGAAAGTGATTAGGAATTGAGATACGCTCTAAAGAAAAACACTCATTTTTCCTTCAATAAGTTCCCAACATTTCTGAAGCCACAAATGCAAATAATCAAAACAGAAAAATGACAAAATAAATAAAAGAGCATAATTCATTTGTAGTAATGCACAAAAATAATAAGGAATTAGAATTTTAAATTTTTGTTAGAAGAGGACATGAAGATTGCTTTACCAATAGCAAGATCGAGTGCAAGAACCAGACGCCTTACCTTTTGTCCTTTAGAAGAGCAATGATTCCTGCAGCTTCAGCAGGTGAAACAGGTGAGGGAGAATGTGGACGATCTGCAGGCCTCTGTAAGTTGAAGCTGTTAGATGCACTGCTACTTGGTGTCATAGATTGAGAAGCATTGGGGGAGCCAACTACAGAAGGAGGATACCAAGAATGCGAAGAAACCTCTTGTGGGTGTGGCTGAGCTTGTTGCTCCTGTGAACCCCTGCAACATGATCAAAATTTTAGTGAAACCAATATGCATGTCATAAATTGTATTTGAGTGAAAACTGTAAATGAAGTTAAAAAGATCACAATCGTGATTAACTTTTGACCATTATTGCACAAGTACAACTACGGTAAAACTTTTATATACCCGCACAACTTTTATTAATGGAATTTCTCAAGCATTTGACAGTATTACCCCATTGAAATCCAACATAAGGTGCATACCAAATTGACTAGGTAATAACACCAAAATACTTAAAACAAGTCCACATCTGTGAATTGCCCTAGCATGTTTAGCAATTCAGAGATGCTCATCCCTAAATCTAACTTCATGAAAACAAATATCGTTATAAGTGATAATGATTCCCACATAATGCTTATTCAAAACTGCTACTGTTAGTTTTTATACCTTCATCTCCTTCATGTGTACAGAGCACCTCTCTTTTATTCTATTTTAAATAACAAACAAAAGTAAGAAGTAGTTTGAGCACTTTTGGTTTAGTTACAATTTCTCATCCAACTAAAACATGTTTTATACTATAAATTACAATGACCCAATTGTTCTTTAGCATAAATTTTAGTCTTTGATGATCAAACAGCCTCCCAATACCCAAAAAAATGGTAAATGGTGATTCTAAATATACAATATAACTTAAAATTCCAAGGAAATGCGGATTAAATGACATAATAAACCCTAAAAATCAAACAAATCCGCAATTATATGAATTTCACAGAAACTCTAAACGAAGTTCAAATAAAATCACAAATATAAGTGAAATTAGTCAAAATTTGCAGGCAATTGAAAAATATCAGCATCACAGAAAAGAAAAAAAAGAAAACCCCAAAATTAGGCCCTGGATATCGAAATTCAAAACATTAAAAACAGAAGCGAATAAATCGAAACCGATTATCCAAAAAAATCACAAGAAAATTAATCAAAAGAGATAAAAGAGTTAACAAAGAAAAGTACCAGAACTTGAACATAGCTCGGAAGAGGGCGGCTTATAGGTCGTTGGATGATCAATCAACCCAATCAATCGAAACCAAAAAAAAAAAAAACCCACCTTTGATTGATTTGAGTCTTCCACGAAGAAAAAGAAAAACTAAATTGTTTCTTTCATAGGAAATATTATTTGTTTTTTTTTATTTTAACCATTCTGTTTACACGTGGGTGATTTTTATTGGGTTTGGACATGCGTCCCTGAACGGCACAAAACATACAATTTTTTAGATGAAAATTGTGAAATTTTTTAAAAATATTTAATAAAAATTTTAAAACAATAAATTAGTAGATCAATGAAAAATTATTAAAAGTATTATTTATAATTTAAATTTAATTTATATATTTAAAGGTTAAAATTTAATAATATTTTTATTAAAAATATTTATGTAAAGAAAATCAAAATTTTTTTAAAAATTTTACTTAATTTATACACTAAAATCTTTTAATTTATCAATTTTAATTTTTAATTTTATTTCATAATTTTTAATAAAAAATTTCATAAACTATACCAAAAAATTTCATCTAAAGTTTTCCCCTGGTTTCCCCTTGGACGAGGCTTCTAAGTTCTAATTGCCTGACATGAAACCTCCCCTTAGGTTCACGAAAATCATTAAAAGAAAAAAAAAATGAAGATTGTTCAACAGAATCTTGCTCTTAAACAACCTTGATCAGTCAAGATCATCCTGCAAGAACAAGACGATCTATGGCTTGTCTACATCGCCAAGGGCGACACAATCGTCAGTGACACGAGCAGGCAAGTTATTCACAACAAAAGCTCTGCCAATGTTGAAATCAAAATCAAAATCTCGGGTCAAAATTAAACTTTGAATCAAAATCACAGATGCTGATTATGTGAAAGACTCGTTGCGTGTGCAAGGTAGGAACCTAGTCGTCAATGAATTCATGGCCTCCGGTGCGTATCACACCGTAGAGAATGAGAGTTCAAAGAGTTTGAATTTACGAAGGAACTTTGGAACTCCAATGCCTTTGAAATTTTGCATGTTTGAAAAACCAGGAGCCGACCTAGCCGTGATACTCTTGCAAACAAGGGTCGGCTCAAGTGTTTTTGGTTGGACAAAGGATCACAACCCTTTCTGCACAGCTCGAGGCTTCAAAATACCATCCATAAAACCGCCCCAAACAAGTTTTATCAAGGGTTTATTAAGCCCTGGCTCTATGAAAGAAGAGCTTCGGGGTTTTTGTTACAGGAAGCACAAAGATTGAAGATGAAATCGGTAAAAGACAAGCAGTCACGGTTTGTAATGGTGAATATAGGGAACAAGAATAATTTGAAAGAGATTTTACATGATAACGAAGTGATGGGATTGATTAAAAATACGAAAGCTGTGATGGGATTGATTCGGATCGTGCATGTTATGGGCCAAGGAATGTAGAGACAACACAGGAGATGATGGCAATCGATTGATTACGGATGATTTACTTATGAGTAAAGAGATTGCATTGAGGCAAAAATATATGGAGATAGTGAAACCATTGAAGAAAGCAGGCGGGAAAGCCTTTGTTTACTCGTCTATGCATGTTTCAGGATAGAAATTGGCTGCTATTCTGAGGTTTCCATTGTCTGATCTTGATGAACTTGTGCTTTGATCACACATTAATTTACTATATTTTTCTTATTTTATTTCATTAAGGAACATTGAGATTAGAAAACTAATTTTGTCAATTTGACCCTGAATTAATTGCAATACCTTGCTCCCAATCAAATTATGTGTATATGTGAATGCTAAATTATGAACAATTTTTCTTGAGATTAACCTTGATTATCTGTGACCTTGTTAGCTTCGTCATAAATTCCTAAATTCAATGCTAAAATTATTAAAAAAAAAGAATTCATAAACTTTACTATTTGGTTTAAATAAATTCTTTCATTTTTATCATATTCAAATAAACTCTTAATCTTTAATTTACACTCAAATAACTCTTTAATAATTTATTTACCTAATAAAACACTTAATCTTTAATTTATAGCCAAATAAACCTTCATATAAAAAATTTTTGTTAAATAAAAACTTATTTGAATATAAATAAAAAAATAAAAACTTATTTAGATACAATCCAAATATAAAGACTTAATTAAAAAAATAAATAATTAAAGAGTTCCTTCACTATTTTTAACCATTTCTTTAATGTCATTATTGAAATCTTGTTAGTCCACTTGCAATGATAAATCGGAAAACCTTTTTACTTGATAACAAAATCTAATTCAATTGATTTATACTATCATCCTCAAAAAAATAACGTTTAAGAAATTTAACATTTAAATCCAGACACCTACTTCTCTTTTTCAATATAAATACAAATATATATATATATATATATATGTATATTTCAGTAGACTATCAGCTTTGAAAGAGTAACAAAAGGATGCAGAATTACATATTCATCTTATCTTCTTTTGATTTGTTTACAATAAGCCAGCTGATCTTAGAGCAGCTTTAAAGTCTTCCTCATTCTTCCAGTCAGGAACCTGCATCCCAGATAACATTTGAAAAGCAATCAGATGAAATGAAAAGCATAAAAGAAAAAGGACAAGATATGCACCAGCATAGACGGGAGGGCTTACCTCTGCTATTTTGGTGCCAAAATGATTTTCGATTTTGGACATTATCATTTCGTCCATATCGCCACAGAGCAAGTTGAACACAGCTCCTGTAAATCAGATAGAAATAGCTCTGAATAATGTGCTCTACCTCGAATGTCCATTAAATAGTATAAAGTGAAAACCCACCCCAAACAAGTGGTTGTTGCTTGAACCGAAAACAAGTTCAGTTCTCACTAGGTTAACATCACACACAAAAGTTAAAAGAAATAAACAACTGTAGAAAGGCATCAAAATGAACATGTTGTCTACCAAAAATCAAAACATAGGGACATCATTTAAAAAGCTTAACATAATAGAACCATATACCTAGCTCCAGTCAGGTTTATCAGGTATCAGGAAGCAATGATTAACACTCCTAACGAGGGATGAAAAGGGTTCAACTCGAGTATTAACCTTTAAAGTAAAATCACATTTTGATTCAAAAACCTACCCTTGCGGCCAAAACGCCCTGCTCTGCCAATTCTATGCAAGTAAACCTCACAATCAGGCTCCGTACGATTGTCATGTTTCACAGGAAGATCATAATTGATGACCAAATTAACCTGCAGAAAAATACAATATCAGGATGACACACCTTGTACACAGCCAGGCAACTGAGGGGAATAAGGGGAAGAGGTACCTGTTGCTGGTCAAAACCCCGTGCAAGAAGGTCAGTTGAAATGAGGACTTGAGTCAAACCATCTTTAAACTCTTTGACTATCTTGTCTCGGTCTTCTTGCTTGAGAGCACCTTGAATTGTGGTAACATCATAACCAAGGTCCACAAGTGACTTATGTAACATGCTTGCACTATTCCTTGTGCGTACAAATATTATCGTCTGCCCTAGGCGCTCTCCAAATTCAAAAATTCTCTCTTTAATCACCATAACCTTGGAAAGTTCATCTGGAACATTCACCTTGTACTGCTTCACTGACTCCAATGATAGTTCTTCCTTCTTGACAAATAGTTGATTGTGATCTCTCTTTACTATCTTTGATACAAAATTCTTGACAGTCTCATTAAATGTGGCAGAAAACAGGAGAACCTTGAAATTGATTCAAAACCAAGCATTCAGTCAGTCATTTCTATCCAAATACTAAGAATGCAAAATACTAAGAATGCAACTAAGTCATGATGATAACCCTGCTTTCTTACCCATATAGGCTAGCCCTTTATACACAACAAAATACATATTCGAGTCAAATAGTGTCAAGATGTAAACAATTTCAGTGCATGGGCATTCGTCAAAAAAATTGGATATCTACCCAACTAGCAGAGTAATTAGTTTATAATTCATGTCATGCTTCATTCTGAACGGTATCCAAGTATAGGCTTTTTGTCGCCATACCTTAGACCACCAATTTTATGTCATTTCCAATGTTATTCGGCATGTGATTCATCCGTATTGATAAAGAATAGTAGAAGGAGCATCTTTCAACAATCTCGAGATAAAGAAATCTTAAGATACTATATAGAAAATATTGATTAAGTATCTTTCTGACAATCTCTAGGTAAAGAAATGTTAAGACTGTATGTAGAAAAAGGTTGACATATCACATCCTAGATCCAAATAACATTTACAACACATCTTTAATACAAACCTGGCAGTGAGAACTCATCCTTTCAATATCCCTCATTATTCTCAAGGAATCATCTTTAAATCCATCCTGCAGCAAAGAAATGTATATGAGCAAATCAATGATCAATAGCACATTCCTCTAAGCATGAAATTTTCTCAACCGGTTCGATTATATGATTGAACTACATAATTAAAATAATGTCCATCCTTTCAAAATCAATTGTCTACAGACAAAGCCATTCCAATCCTCCTCAAAGCTCCCTTGCAAACACACATTCCCAAAACAGAGAATACAATGAATACGATAAACAAAGATCTTTTGGAATGCTTGATAGCAAAGAGGAAACGAAATTAATTAATGGCACATTAATCCTACCATTCACCTAATTTAAATGGTTTTGTCACCCCTTCCTGTTCTTACTTGTCTTGTCATCATGCTTTAAGGATCCTGTATTACTGTTCCTCAAAACTTACCCAAGCAACTCCCACAACCATACTCAAAGGCCATAATATTCCAATAAGCTGAATAAAAGTCAAAGCAATATGGTAAAAATTCTGAACACATCACCTAAAATCCATAAAGTTACACACTGGATGTTGCAAAATTAGTTCTGGACGATGCGAACAAATTGTTAAGGCAGCTATAAATACTAGATACCACTAGAAAGATAAGTCCCAAGATGCCTTCCCACAAACATAAAAAGATTCACTAATAAACACAAGCAATACATTATATATCTACCTATACAGCTGACCTTAAGGTACTCATAAGTTCATATATAGACAAGCAAAGTGCCAAATTGTTCCACAAGAATAGCATTACTGATATTTTTAAATAGAAATAAAGTGTTTTTTTCTTTCCTAATACTAAAAGCAAGATAATTCTAAATTCTAAATTCCATCACAACCTCAAGCAAATAAACCAGCAAAACAAAGGTTACCTCAGCCAGCATGTGATCAGCCTCGTCAAACACAAGAATCTTCACATAACTCACACCCAATTTCTTCGCCGACATCCACTTCTTAATAGTGCCAGGAGTACCAATAACCACTTGAGCTGTAACAGGTGGCCGTTTATTAATTGGAATATAATTAGTACTGTCCATTGGAATAGCACATTCTGAAGTTATCCCAGTATGCTTCCCCATCTTCCTAAGCACTTCCAAATTCTGCAAAAATGAGCCCAAATTTTATCATCAAAACCAAAACCAAAATCCAAATTTCATTAAAACCTCGAAAATTCAAAATTCCAACAACTTAACCTGAATAGCCAATTCTCTTGTGGGACAAATGCAAAGTGCTTGAGGAGCTTTTATATTGGGATCGACACGAGACAGCATTCCAACCGTAAAGCAAGTGGTTTTTCCAGAACCATTATGAGCTTGAGCAATTAAATCCAGGTAAGGGGGAGTCAAAATCATTGGTAAACTAATAGCTTGAATTTTACTAGGCTTTTCAAATTTCATCTCAACATATAACCCCTTCAATAATTCTGGTGACAAATTCAATTCCTCAAATGTCAATGCAGACGTGTAAGGTGTATCCCTTGATGTAACCTAAGCAAATTAAACAAAAACTTACAAAAGTCAAAACCCTAAATCTCAGTCAAACTATGAAGCAAAAGCTGAAAATTTTAGGTTCAGTGATTTATACGGCTTTGATGTTGGAATCTTCGGGTTCGTCGAGGAACTTGTTGATCTTTTTGTTCTCGTTGATTGTGAGGTTTTCAACTTCGAGTTCCGGCGCGCCTTTTTCTTCCGATGTTGAGGAAGCGCTCGGTTCCTCCGGAGCTTCGTCTTCTAAATCAGCCCATCTTGTTCGCGTCTCGGTGGCATTTTTGGTTTCTTGTGGCGTTGGAACCTCGGCGGAGGTGGTGGCGGAGTCTGCGGCGGTGTCAGCCATGAAGTTCTAGAAAAGATGGAGTATAAGGGAAATAACAAATCCGTTTCCTTTCCTCTTTCTGTGATTAGGGGAGAAGGTTATATGGTGGCAGCGGTACGGGGGACTGTTTAACCGACTTGGATTTAGCTTAAGAATGACGCAGTAATTTTGCTTTTCACCTTAATAGTGACGCTGTCATATTCAAACGGGAAATTTACCGTTAATGTTTCTATTTTATGAGAAAGAAACATTGGCGTTAACGTCGTTAACGTCGTTTTGAAATTGAAGTATTAGATTATGCTTGATGTAGTTAAAAAAATAAATGATTGGAAATTTTTGGATAAAAAATAAGAAAGTTTATATTTTTTACATTCATTAATAAAAATAAATCACTCAGAATTAAAAAAATTTGAGAGAGGTGGTAAATGTATTACATATTTACAAAATTATTTATTATATTTAGATTTTTATATTAATTTAAAAAAATTATAATGATAAAATCACGTAATTTTTAAATTTTTTTCTTTTTTTAATTTTATCAAATAATGAATGAAAGAAAATTATATTTTCTTTTAATTTTTTTATCTTTCTAATAAGTACACTTATAAAAAGAAAAAAATGTTTTTCATCTTTTTATTTTTTTTAATTCTTTATCTTTATATTTTTCTTTTATTACCATTAAATAAAATATTAAAATTTTAATAATAAAACGGTGTGATGATATAATAAAAATATATTTTCATAGCCATCCAAAATAGAGCAATAATTAGTTTATAACCATTTTCCAATGGAAAAATAAGTGGTAGACAACAAACCTTCTAAATTACGGCACACAAGGCTGTGAGGTGAGCAATGCCCCTTAATTTTGTCAAACGCGGCAATCTTTTTCCCCTTTGCCCAATATCCCGACTGAAAATGAAAAGCTAACAAAGTTTCAAAGCACTAGTCTTCAAGTATCTCTTTAGGACATATTTCCATTGAACATGTACAATTGTTTCCTTTGTTCCTTCTTTTCGTTTCTGACTATTTTCACTCCCACAAGCTTTATATCTAACCTAATATCAAAGCTTTTTAATCACAATCCTTGACAAAGAAATCAGATAAATTTATTTTCAAAACTTAAAATCGTATAAATTTAAAATTTATTTTAATTCGTAACACTTTCACTTATCAAAAATAAAAAATATTATCTTTTTCTTTAGTCAATATCTCAACTTCGGATTGCCAAACAACCCGAAGTTGCAAATGCATTCAAAATTTTTTTTTTATAATTTGCATTGATAGATTTTTTATATATCTAGCACCAAGTAGAATGTGATTATCATCATTAACCAATGTGTATCCTTCTAAAATAAATAAAAAAAGCTTGTTTCTCAAATTCGAGTTGAAGTTGTTTCATTATAATAATTAAAATTAAAATTTAAAATTTTTAATATTGAGCGATTTTAATATCACTGAACTAATAATTCATTCATCATTCCATAGGTTTTCTTATATAAACAAAGTTGCCTTTAAAAAAATAAAACAAATAAGCATCAAAATCCAGATTAAAGAATAGTTTGTTGCCCTTAGCAAAGGGTTTTCAACCAAAAAAGCAAAACTATTTTTCATAAGGAAAACGTGGTTGATCTTCAACTTTATTAAAGATAGGGGTAAGAAAAAAAATTGAAAAATCCAAAAATTAATTTAAAATTATAATATTTAATTTGATTCGAATTTTTTTTATTCGATTCAAATTAAATTTAAATATTAATTGTATATATTATATTCGAATTGAAAAGTAAAAAATTTAAAAAATTTAAATTAAATCAAATTAAATATTTTTTAAATTTTTATATATATTTTAAAATTTTATAAAATAAAATTAATAATTTTATATCAAAATATACTTAAATATATTGAAATTTTATATTAAAATAATATATAAAAATTAATAAATTAATTCAAATGAATTGATAAATTTTAATTAATTTAATTTAAATTAAATAAAAATTTAAATTTAAATTAAATTTTAAAATTTTATAATATTATATAATATTTTAAAAAACTAAATTAAATTCGATTAGAATGAATTCATTATTACTCTTAACTAAAAAATATTTTGTAGTAGGATTCACTTAAAAGCAGTAAGCTTAGAATTCCGAGCCGGGCTGCTTAATGTTAGTAATTTGCTTATTCATGGCTGCCCTTTATGGCAGAAAATCCATGTCAAGTCTCAATCGGATATCCAACTTCTGTAAATATATGAAACATATATTTAAATTACAATTATATGCATATATTTTTTTAAACATATTTTTTATACTAAAATTATTAAAAAATAAATTTTAATCATTAAAATTAAAATTTAATATCTTATCAACCGATTTATCAAATATGTTATATCTATTATGTAAGAAAAAAATAAATTTTATATTCCTTATTAATATTAAATAAAAAATTTGACAATTTTTGCACTAATGTCTGGGAGACCTCGGCCATTGTCCTAAGGGTATTTTCGTAAAATACATAAGTCACCTCAGACTCAATCATAGATCAATGAATACTCATTGTACCCATCAAAGAATTTAGGCCAACTTTATAACATGTCTCCTGTTCTTAGCATTTTCCTTTCATCCAAACCATCACATTCTTTAATTTAATTAATTTTATATTATTGATATAATTTTTGGTTTGATGAGAATAAAGTTTGTTGTAAGTTGAATTAAAAGTTTTACTTTCAAATTAGGTCATCATTTATGAAATTAAAAAAAATAAATTAGATATGTAATGTTTTGAACTCTTAACAATTTTTTTCTTTTTTTATTTTATTTTTATTAAATTTAATTAGTCTAAATATCAAAATTATGTGTGAATATTGATGACTTTATAATTAAAATACTGTTGACATAAACATTAAGGTGCAATCAAAGATGATAATCGATTAAGTTAAGAGAAGATTTTTGTTCATTTCAAAATTTGATTTAATATTGTACAAATTTATTTTAATATAATTCGATGTAAAATTAATAAAATATTATTTTTAATATAAATATAAATTAATTAATTAATTAATATATATACCGGATAATATATAAATTTAAAGTGTAATTACATATAATTTCATCTAAAATGAAGTGAAAAAAAGAAAATCCACCAATCGATGTATGCATACCATAACTACCAAGAATTTACCACCAAATCATTGCCAACTGAAAAACTGGCAAAGAAAAAGACAAAAAAAGCCATTGCCATCTGAATTTACTAGCCCCTACAAATTGAAGGATATTTTCGTCTTTCCGCATAATTCCTCTTAACCTCCAATTTAGCTCGTAATTGATCAGTCTAATTCCTTTCTCTTAAGCCTTCACAGTCTGGTTTTCTTTTCTTTTCTCTCTCTTTTTATCTCAATGCAGAGAATCAAACAAGATCGATCTTTTTATTTCGATCTCTCTTTGTAAAAAGAAAGAAGACCCATCTTTTGGATTTTCTCCAAACCTTTGGAAAATGCGGGCTTTGAGTCAGCTGATCTTGGGATTTTTAGCACTCTTGTCGGTGGTTTACTGTGCTGTTATTCCACTGGAGAGGGCTTTTCCTTTGAACAAGCGAGTTGAGTTGAGTCAACTCGTAGCTCGAGACCAACTCAGACACTCTCGAATCTTGCAGGGTCTCCTTGTTGGTGTCGTCGACTTCTCTGTTCAAGGCTCCTCCGATCCCTTCCTCGTCGGGTAATTTTGGCTCACCCTTTTTGTTTCTTTATTTCTTGCTCTCAGTTTCTAAGGTTTTGCATTAATGAGTTTTTTTTTTTTATGAATTTAATCATTTACTTTGTTTCCAGCTTCATCTTTACGCTTCTTTTGACCGCTGAAGATGAAATCTTGTCTTCCTTTTGCTTAAAATTTTCTTTGAATTTTGTCTTTGTTCTCTTGAGTTGTTTTTGCTTTTCCTCCCTTTAATATGGAAATGGAATTGGTAACGTATAGAAATGTAGATAGCGACATTGGTTTTGTTCTTCAATCCTTTTTTTTGTTTTTGTTTAGGCTTTATTTTACAAAGGTGAAACTTGGATCTCCTCCTAGAGAATTCAATGTGCAGATCGACACTGGGAGCGACATATTATGGGTCACCTGCAGTTCTTGCATTGATTGTCCCCAATCCAGTGAACTCGGAGTAAAGTCCCTTTCCTTTACTTCAATAATTTGATAAGTTTTACAATGAAAACGACGATCGAAAATGTAATTGCTAACTTGTTATGTCATGCATTGTACAGATTCAACTCAGTTTATTTGACACTGCAAGTTCATCATCTGCTAGGCTGGTTTCTTGTTCAGATCCATTGTGTTTTTCAGAATTTCAAACTACTGCAACTCAGTGCTCTCAGACTAATCAGTGCAGTTACTCCTTCAAGTATGGAGATGAAAGTGGAACATCAGGTTATTATGTATCTGATATGTTGTATTTTGACGCTGTTTTCGGACAGTCTTTGATTGCCAACTCTTCGGCTCTCATTGTGTTTGGGTGAGCTTCCATGACTCATTGGGGATTTGCTCTTGCGACTGATATAAGATTGGAAAGAACCATTAAGATAAATGAAAGACGTGGAAGAAAAATGATAAAAATAAGGGCCCAACCATCTTAGTCCATTATGAAATTCTTCTTTTGAGATAAAGTTTATATGTCATCAATCAGTGTAAGTCTGGTGTGATCCTTAAATACAACAATGGACAATAAAATTAAAATGTTTAAATGCCATGAAAATGGATTGGATACCAGGCAATTATAAGTGATTGAGCACCTAGAATGAGGTTAATGTGGAGTTCTATTAGTGCACTTGATTTGACCATGGAGGAAGGAAAGTAAACTTGGTCATGTAAGTTGCACATGGTACCTTCCATCTGCAACAAATCAATTTTGCGTATTTTTTTCCTCATTTGACTATGTCTTTAATCAAATAAGTATCTTAATTATCTTAAATTCTAAATAGCTGTTTGTCTTATGTTAATCTGAATTTACTATGTTATTTACTTATTCCCCTATGGACATGGTGTGGAAACAGGTGCAGCACATATCAGTCTGGTGACTTAACTACGACAGGTAAAGCTGTGGATGGAATATTTGGCTTTGGCCAAGGTGATCTGTCTGTTATATCACAATTGTCATCACGGGGTATAACACCTAGAGTTTTCTCACATTGTTTGAAAGGAGATGGCAGTGGAGGGGGTATAATGGTTCTTGGTGAGATTATGGAGCCCAGCATTGTTTATAGTCCGCTTGTCCCATCACAGTATGCCCTCTTTCTTGCATAACTTTTGTTGTCTTTGTCGGTGCTGCTTTCACTCTGATGGTTTAGTTCTATTCTCTTTAAGTGGAAAAATTGTAAATAATGCTGGTAAAGCAAGTCAGATATGTTCATGCTGCAATTAGATAATCTTATCTTTCTTATTCCTTCAGTCTAAATGAGTCACATGCTGTTGGTTATTTTGAATTTTATTCCATATTAGAACAAGTGCTGGGTACCTAGGGAGTTTACTGGTGCCTTGCTGGCCATTCAGGCCTTTTCACCTTTTGCTGCAAGTTTCTTTGTTGTTTAAACCTTAAACCCTATCAAGAATTTCTTTGTTATTTAAACCTTAAACCTTATCAGGAGCTAATGCTTCATTCTCCCAGCAGTTAGTGGTTTGCTGGTTGGACTTTGTTGGCATAACATAAAGGCAAGATTGGTGTTGCTAACAATTCACATTGACTACGCCTCTAGAAATTCTGTATCGCTCTTGCTCTAATATGTTGTTTTTAACGTCTGAAAGTATGCTCTGATTGTAATTTATGGTATTATGGGGAAGGCAGTATCTGATACTGTTGTGCATGTTCCTTATCTTACCACACTTTCCAGGATTCAAGGCTGCTCTTAATCTTGCAAAAGCTGGGTTTGTCTACTATCCCACATCATTTTTCCCACTCTTTTTGATAGTGGGAGTGGAAGGAATTTAGGTCTATGAAGGGGTGAAGTAGATTTTGTCAAACATGCTTATTATTTATTTATTCTTTGGTTGGTGAATGGATGTTTTCATGAACCATCTCAGTCTTTACCGTGTAAACATTTCTTTTGCAAACATATGATCTTTCTGTTTCACTTGGAATATATGGCATAGTTCCAGCAAGTTTGACCATTTCCTTATTTAAAATTTTCAGGCCCCATTATAATTTAATGCTACAGAGCATCGCTGTCAATGGACAGTTGCTGCAAATTGATCCAGCTGTTTTTGTGACATCGAGTAATCGTGGTACTATTGTTGACTCTGGAACAACTTTGGCATACCTTGTGCAAGAGGCATATGATCCATTTGTTAGTGCTGTAAGTATGAATATTCTTTCAATTTTCTTTAATGTAAAGCAAAGTTAATGGTGGCATAGAATACAAACATCTCTTCTTGAGATTGCCACCCTGAAAGCATAAGATATTTAGTTATATTGTAGTACTTTGCTACTAATGTGTTCTGATGTTGACTTGCATGTTGAATTTGCAGATAACCGCTATTGTTTCATCATCTGTGACTCCCATCATTTCTAAAGAAAACCAGTGTTATCTAGTCCCCACCAGGTTAATTCTCTAGCTTTATCTTTTTGTAGCAATTTCATGCTAGTGTTTTTCTTCAGAGAAATTTTTTGTTTTCCTGTGCTTTTCTGTTCTCCACCTACCTATCATTTCCCCACACCTAATTACAATTTATTTAAATGAGATGGATATCTGTTTTATGGTCAGTGTAAATGAGATATTTCCTACGGTTAGTCTAAATTTTGCCGCTGATGCATCAATGGTGCTAAAACCAGAAGACTATCTTATACTCTCTGGTTTCTACGTAAGTTGTCCTACCTAATTATTCTGTTAAATTCAACATCTCTCAAAGTTATGAAGTAGAAATGATTGCTGATAATGGAAATTCTGTTGCATGAAGTGTAATGGATCATTTTGTTTTTGCAGGATGGAGCTACAATGTGGTGCATTGGTTTCCAAAAGGTTCCGGGTGGAATAACAATTTTAGGAGGTTAGATATGGTTTTCTTTGAATTGAATATAAGTTTGGAGCAATAAACAATTTGATTCCACTCCCAGTTATTGAATGGAGGGTTTGAGCAAATTGCATCTGCCGTTTTGCACTACACCATTGATAATATTTGCTCCACTTCGTTACTTTCTTAAAGATGAATTTAACCATTTTGTGGTTTATCCATTTTGCAGATCTTGTCCTTCATTTATAATATTTGCTCCTCTTTGTTGCTTTCTTAAAGATGAATTTAACCATTTTGTGGTTTATTGATTTTGCAGATCTTGTCCTAAAAGATAAGATATTTGTTTATGATCTTGCTCGTCAACGAATTGGATGGGCTAACTATGATTGTAAGTTCAATTGATAATAAAATTATAGGGTTTTTCCCCTCCGATTTTTTTGCTTCATTTAGCAACTTGACCCAGTGTCTCTTACATGTCTCTGAATTTCTACTTGTTAGGCTCATTATCTGTAAATGTCTCTATTGCTTCCAGTAAGGACTTCATAAATGAAGGACAGCTGAGTGTGAGTAGCTCAACGACAGAGATGCTATTCAAGCTTATACCTTTGAGTTTGATAACCCTACTAATGCAACTCTTAGATTTTGTGGAGTTCCAGGTTTTGTAATTTAAACCTCAGTCTGAAAATTTATTCTTTGTATATAGTAGATTGACCGATCTTTATTTATGGTGATCAGCAAGGCATTTGTGCCTTTTAGTAAGATAGCAAAGGGATCTCGACAATGTGAAATTCTTCTCTGGTTCGGATTGCTTGTGAATGGGGCACGACATCTTCTCTTCTTCTTATGGAACTTGGCCTTCTCCTTGTAAAGAATCCTCCATGTCCACCGTCCAACATTGCTAGAAATGTATATTATCTATCTGCCAGATTCGAGGTGTTGTTTAGGTGTGTAATATTTTGCCATTGGAAGCAGAAGAGGTACTCAATTTTTCTTTAGATTCTTCTCTGGTTCGGATTACTTGTGTATGGGACAAGACATCTTCTCTTCTTGTGGAAGTTGGCCTTCTCATTGTAAAGGATCCTCCCTCCCTGTCCAGCATTGCTAGAATTGTATATTCTCTTCCTGCCAGATTCTAGGTGTTGTTTGGGTATGCAATTTGTCGCCATTGGAAGCAGAAGAAGGTACTCAATTTTCTTTTATCAAGTCACTACTTAGGTTTGGTTTAGGTAGAGATGTAGAAATAACATTTGGTGTTTAAAGTCAATTTTGTAAGCATCATTGTTTGTTTGGTAATATGAAAATGTTCATACTTTTTCATTCTTTCCTTTTCCTTGTGGTTTAAGCCAAATGAAATAACCATTTTTATTCTGCAACGCATGTTGATGGAAGTGAGTTTCTCACCTTTTTGACTTATTATTCCATTAGAAGACACCTCAAATTTTAAAGAAAATGTTTGCTCAAAGAACTATTCAAAAGGAATTCTTTAAACAATCAAGAAAATTTTAGAAAATAATAAAAAATCCAAGAAATTATTTGTCCAAAAAAAAATTAAAAAAAAAAACTTATTAGCCATGGACGTAGCGGTGAAACGTTGTGAAATCTAATATTTATTTTAAATTTTGATTGGAAATTTCTTATCATATTGACAAATACGTTTTATGATTGAATTTTTAATATTTTAATTATAAAACGCATTCTCCAAGTGATAATGTTTCAATAGACTTTGTAAATAAACCTTTTAAGTAGAAATGAAATCTAAAATATTTTATGTAAAAATCTTTAATTTTGATATTGTTTTTTTATGTAAAAAGTATATTAAGAAATTATAAAAACAATATATTATATTACAATATACATAAAAATCTGATAAAATTTGCTTACATGTAATCTTATATATACAACTTATTTTAATGACACATATGATAATTTTAAATATACAATTAAATAAAATTTTTTAAAATTTACATGTACATTCTATCTGAATGATAAAAAATATATTTTTTTTAATTTTAATTATTTATCAAATAATTTTAATCAATTATTTAATTTTTAAAATTTTAAATTTTCAAAATTAAAATTTATCCCAATCTTTCAATATATATAAATGTTATCCTAAATTTAAGCAAAACAAAAAAATTTTCATCTCACACTAAATCTTAGAAATTATATAACTTATATACTATCAAAATCATACATGGTCTAAATCAATAGTTTTATAAATTTAATATAAAAAATAGTCTTATAAATTTAAATTAATTAGAATTTATGATTGAGAATTATGGCTTGCCAACTTTCTTATTCTTTTTATGATTTAAAATAAAAAATATCTTACCTCAATTTAAAACTCATATATATCTTAATTTAAAATTATACAAATATTTTTTTATCTTGATATAAAAATACACATTATCACTAAATAATTAAAGATTAAGAGATAAATAAATAAATCATGCATTTATTTATGCTAAAAAAATTGTAATATTTAACTTCAACAGTGAATAAAATTGTAAAAGGTAATGATAGATTATGCTAAGAGCAATCTAGGTCTCAAAAATTCAGAAGAAGGCAGTAGCACTCATAATTTTTACAAGTAAAAATACATGAATAACCATCCTCTTCTTCTTCTTCTTCTTCTTTTTTGTGTTAGACGTTTTTATTTCTTCCTTTCTTTATTTTTCTCTATTTTTTTATTTTTTTATTATTCATGTTAATTATCGTATTAATCCTAATTTCTTGGAAATTTTCTTTTAATCTATTGCAGGTGCTTATTTTATCTGTTATATGCCTTTTTGAAAATTTTATTTTTGTATGTACAAGCTTTTTTTTTATATTATTATTTGCACATTATATAATAGTGTGTGCATAATAATTAATCAATAAATGAATATGATAAGTTTGTTTGAATAGTTTTTTTTTTTTTAAATACTTGCAAATTTTTTTTCTTTTTTGGTTATCTTTAAAGCAAATTTAAAATTATAATAAAATTATATTTTTTTAGATGAAAAAACATAAATTTTTTTCCAATTTGCTTTTCATATTGTAAATGTTTATTTTAGTATAATTCTTTTATAATTTACATTATATTTGTATATTTTTATTTTAATTGGACACTTTGTTAGAAGTCGATTAGATTATCTAATTATCGCAATAATATCTTATCAAAATCATTGTTTTAAATTTCCTTGCTCAACATTATTATTTCAATATTATATATAGTATATACTATATGCTAAAAGATCATTTTGAATCAAGTCTTCACGTTTTGGTCTTTATATATTTTTTTTTTATCTTTCTCAATTGTTATGGTAATGTAGGAATAGGATTGTAAAATTAAATGAATTATATATTAAAATGTTTTTGAAAAAAGTAAAGGATAATATGAATTTGAGTATGAAATGTAAGATAACAAAACAAGATTTTAAGAGTATATCGTTTGAATTTTTATTTGAAATTTAGTGCATATATTAATTATTATATTTTCTTAAATTGCATGATTTTTAATATCATTTTTAAAAAATTTTATTTCTTTAAAACCAAAAAAAGTGAATAGAATGTACTAATCAATAAGTATAAATGAAAATAATGAAAACAAATAAAGATATTTAATAAATTAAAAAAAAAAACAAAACCAAATTTATTTTTATCTTGATAAATAAACTTTAAAAAATAAGTATATCAATCTATAATTGTCAAATTACTTATTTAATATGTTCTTTAATTTAGTTGTAATTAATAATAATTCTTTAGAATTTCATTTAATTATATTGAATATCATATTTAGTATTTAATATTTTTTTGCTCTATATTAATCCTGAATTGATAAGTCATGAATGAACAATTTTTTATTTTTTGAACAAATAAATTTTTTAAAATGTTTATTTCTCATGTTTTATTATTTTTATATTAAATAAAATTTGGACAATAAAAATTTAAGCAAAATAAAACAAATTTAACAACTCACACTTATATATATATATATATATATCAAAATTCAAATATAGCATTTAAAGTTAAATCACTAAATTTTTAAATCATATAACTCATATGCCTTAAAATCATACCCGATGTAAATCAATAATTTTATAAATTTAATATAAAAAATAGTCTTATAAATTTAAATTAATTAAAATTTATGGTTGAGAATTGTGACTTATCAACTTTCTTATTTCTTTTTTTTTTATGATTTAAAATAAAAATATCTTATCTCAATTTAAAATTTATACATATCTTAATTTAAAGTTATACAAATATTTTTTTTATCTTGATATAAAAATAGGCATTAACACTAAATGATTCAAGATTAGGAAATAAATAAATAAATCATGCAAAAAAAAAAAGAGCAATTGAGATGCATTCAAAATTAAAACCTTCATAATATTTAATAATTAAAACTTTCGAAATATTTAAGATTATAATGAAGCTTTATTTGCAAAGTTTTTTTTTTTTTCTTTTTAAAGTTATCTTTAAAAGAGAATTTAAAATTATGATAAAATATTATTTTTTAAATAAAAAATGAATTTTCTTTTTTAGTTTTTTTATTTGTTTTTCGTATTATAAATATTTATTTTAGTATAATTCTTTTATAATTTACATTCCATTTGTATATTTTTATTTTAATTGGGTACCTTGTTAGAAATCATTAAATAATTTTTTATTTTTTGAACAAGTAATTTTAAAAAAATTTTATTTATCATGCTTTTATTATTTTTATATTAAATAAAAATTATACAACAAAAATAAAAAATATATAACATTTTATTATTTTTATTATTACTTTTTTAATAGTTGATTTTTAATTAACTTTTATATTAACTCATAATTATCTCAATTTTAATAAATAAATTCAAAATATATAATAAATTAATTATTATATATTATATATAAATTAAATAATAAATAAAATTAATTCATGTATCGCATGTGCATTATACGTACATTGATGCAAGATATAAAAAGTCGAAGAGAATACGTGTACGTAAAAGAAGGCATGGTATTTGAAAAAATTGAGGCTGTAAAAAGGTTCCGAAAAATTGTGGGAAAAAAAAAAGTTTCGAAAAATTACAGTGAGAGGACAGTAAAAAAACAGTTTTTTGTAAGTCTAAACTTTGAAAAAGTCTTTTGGGAGGAAGTCTCTTTTTTACCCTTTTGTTTGACTTGTTACCTTAGGACTTTTAAGAGTTTTAGGTGTCTTTTAGGGGTAAGTCTCTTTTTTACCCTTTTCTTTTTGATTTGTTACCGTAGGACTTAGGAATTTTAGGAGTCTTTTAGGGGTAGATCTTTTACAAGTTTTATTTTCGCACATGTAAAATTGTTCACAATAAAACAAAAAAAAATCAACTTCCAATATATCTATACATGCCGTGAGTATTTAAATTTCAATATAGACACAATTAAATCAAATTAAAAAAAAAAAAAAGGAAGTGGTTGAAACGCTCTGAAAAGTCGCTTATGTAACGCAACCGGTATGTTGCGTTCTTATAGTTGAACGTCTCAAACTCTCCCTTGCATCCATGCAAAAAATCCTCTGCTTTTTTTTCCTCCTTCATTAATCACATCACTTTCTGAATAATCGAAACGAAACGTCGCTTCTCTCTCTTTCTCTTCTTTTTTTCTAGAACGATCACAATCAGCCATTGCCATTGTTGGTTTTGTTGGTGTTTAGCGGAATTTGTTTTGTTGGGAATCAAGTGAATATTTGTGGTAGTAGTGGGAATATTATAATTAACGATATTAATGGCGGTTCCATCGGCGGTAACGGTGGCGGCGTCGCCGGCGTCATTGTACGTTGGGGACTTGCATCCTGACGTCTCAGACGGACAACTCTTTGATGCTTTCTCTGAGTTCAAGAGCTTGGCCTCTGTTCGTGTTTGTAGGGATTCTTCTACAGGCAGGTCTCTTTGTTATGGCTATGTCAACTTCATTTCTCCTCAGGATGGTACGTCAAATTTGTTACTAACTTTTCATTTACAAATTATTCACTGTTTTTCTTTTTTTATTGTTTCAAAGTTTGATCTTTTATCTGTTCTGGGTTACTAATATATTGTCAAAATGTTTTAAAATTTTTTTCTCCTTCTGATATGACTAGCATATCATGCTATTGAGGCAAAGAATCACACTTTGCTGAATGGGAAAATGATAAGGGTGATGTGGTCACTGCGAGATCCTGATGCAAGAAAAAGTGGGGTTGGTAATGTGTTTGTCAAGGTACAAATCTATCTATTCTTTTAACAGATATGGTGATGAAGATTGAGCAAATACTTTTATTTGTTTTCTTTTCTTCTTTAAATGCATTTGGTTTATTTATTTAGAACCTGAGTGACTCGATCGACAATGTGGGGTTGCATGAGTTATTCCGGAAGTTTGGAAACGTAATTTCCTGCAAAGTTGCCACATTTGAGGATGGGAAGAGTAAGGGTTATGGCTTTGTTCAATTTGAGTCAGAAGAATCTGCAAATGATGCTATTCAGAAGATTAATGACACCACTATCGGCGATAAGCAGATGTAAGAATTTTCATTTTTTATAATGTGATTATGTATGGATGTTCGGATTGTAGCATTTCAAAATTTTAATTTCATTGTTTTGGCCCAGATATGTTGGGAAATTTATGAACAAGAGTGATCGAGTTTTGCCAAGTCCTGATGTCAAATATACAAATTTGTATATGAAGAACTTGGATCCAGATATCACAGAAGAGCTTTTGCAAGAGAAATTTTCTGAGTTTGGGAAAATTGTTAGCCTGGTTGTAGCAAAGGATGAAAATGAGGCCTCAAGAGGTTTTGGCTTTGTGAACTTTGATAGTCCAGATGATGCCAAGCGGGCAATGGAAGCCATGAATGGATCACAATTTGGTAGGTTTTCTAACCCTTTTTGCCTTTATCGATGCCGAAACTGACAAATACACTTTTCTTATTTTGATCTATGGTTGCATACTTGTATTGATTAGGCTCGAAGGTTCTATATGTAGCAAGGGCTCAAAAGAAAGCTGAGCGTGAGCAAATATTGCGAAATCAGTTTGAGGAAAGACGAAAGGAGCAGATCATGAAATATAAAGTAAGCCTAAGCTCATTTCTCTACCTGATGCAATTCATGATCATAACTGTTTATGTCTTTTACCATTGTGTATCTTTCTCCAAATTTCAGGCATCAAATGTTTATGTGAAGAATATTGATGATGATGTGACTGAAGAACAGCTGAGACAACATTTTAGCCAGTGTGGTACAATTACTTCTGCCAAAATTATGCGAGATGACAAAGGAATAAACAAGGGGTTTGGATTTGTTTGTTTCTCCGCTCCTGAGGAGGCCACTAAAGCTGTGAGCACATTTCATGGTAAGTTCATGAGTCTTATAACTTTTACTTTTATCAGCAAGTAGACACGTCAAAACTAAGTGAAATGGAGTGGAAAAGAAACAAGATTATGCTACCCTTTATGGTTGAAATCCTCATGGAGATCATTCTCTTGTACCTTGTATCTTAAGTTATTTTGCAATGTGTTGTCCGTTCCCGTTTAAAATCTGTCATGCCTTCTCATTGAATTTGTCGATGATCTCATCCCCTTGCATATCTTATAGGACATATGTTTCACCGCAAACCATTGTATGTTGCTATTGCTCAAAGGAAGGAGGATAGACAAGCACAATTGCAACTTCAGTATGCACAGCGTATGGCAGGATTAGCAGGGCCTTCCACAGCTGTTCTCCCTGGAGGATATCCTCCACTTTATTACACAGCTCCAACTGGCGTTGTTTCACAAGTACCTCCACGGCCGGGGATGATGTACCAACCTTTAGGTTTGAGGCCAGGATGGAGGGCTAATGGCTTTGCACCTCCAACCAGACCAGCCTTTCAACCATCATCACTGCCATTGGTATCCTAATTCATTTTAAATGCACATTATCATTCTAGCAAACTGTTACACGAGTACTTATTATTTTGTATTGTAGGTTCCTTGTGCTCCAAGACAAACTAGGCAAACCAGGGGTAGGATGAACGGGCATGCTCTTCTGCAGGGTGGTTCTCGCTCTGTCTCGTATGTGCCACAATTGCAACAGCCAACTCAGACGGTGACTTCTTCAAAAGATCAAAGCAACCAGCAAGTTGTTTTTCTTTTGAACTTGATTCTGTTCTTTTAGCTTCATTGTTTTTTCCTCTCCCTTTTCCTTCTATATACATCCACTGTTATATAAGTTCTGATCGCTGTGATCTACATTTTGCAGCGGGCTGGGCAAGCTAAATATGTATCAAATGGTCGTGCACGAGAGGTGAACAAAGGGTCAGGAGTCCCACCAGCTGCTTCCAATTCTGTTGCAACTTTATCACAAGGATCTGAGATGCTGAGTAGCATGCTTGCTGCCGCTTCCCCTGAGCAGCAAAAAACAATACTAGGTGAACGACTTTACCCCCTTGTTCAGAAACACCAGGTAATTTCCATAACCTAGAATACTTGAGGAATATATTAGAGATCTTCATCATAGTGTTAATTTGCCTCATCAGGATCTTTTCTTATCTGCAGCCTGATCTGGTTCCGAAGATCACAGGGATGCTTTTAGAGATGGACAATTCTGAATTGCTTCTTTTATTAGAATCGCCTGAATCTCTGGCTGCCAAAGTGGAAGAAGCTGTGGAGGTGCTCAAGCTCTCAAATGCTAAAGTGTCTGGCCAAGATGCTCTTCATTCGAGTTTCCTATCTGCTGAAGTTGCAGTCAACTGAAACAATAATGGCATTCAAAATAAAAACCATTTGAAGGATAGGAGCAAAATTTTTTATATCCAAATATCAGTAGTGAACCTTCAAAATTTTCCTAATCCTCACAACATCACTCTCTTTAGTTTTTCTTGTAGGATATTCATATTTTTGAAGGATGTTTTTGGTACTTTGAACATTATTTTTCCTTATAGAGATGCAATGCAAACTTTGCCTACATCATTGTTTCATGAACTTTGCCTACTAAATTTAATACTTTGAAAGTAAGTAAAAATAAACATTTGAGGCCATTATGTCAAGTAGACTCAAGGCTTCTACATAACACTTTGGACAGTGCTTATAAAATTATGCTTAATCGAGCATGATTGCTAGTAGTGGAAATACATAGAGAACATCAGAAACAAAATATTGGAAGCAACTGTTTTCGCTTTTGACTAATCCCATTTCTTTGCAAGTTCATATACCTTTTGGGTTGTCGAGGAGGCTTAAGAGAGATCACTGCAGATATCAAAATGATGGTTAATTCCAACAACTACTCGTATGTATCGTGAAATGGAGGACTAGAAAATGTAAACTGGATATGCCGTGCAGCTGGCATGGCATCCTCAGTAAAAGAAAAAGAAAAATAGACATTCCTTGAAAATTCAGGTCTGGTAAAAAAATATTGGTCACATCTTGGCTGCTTTTGAGTCTGATTCTAGAACATGTTAATTCTCATCTGTTTATAAAAAGTGCAGATTACAGTTGAGGTTAGAAGATCAAGTGTATACAATTTTGTTCCTTCTTCCAAATGTAAAGTTGCTGTTGATCTTAAACCCAGATCACAGAAATGAACATAAATTCAGTCTCACCATTTCTGTAAAACCTATATCTCTCAAAATATCAACTGCTTCTTGAGCGCAGTTGGTGTTTGGTTGAATGAAAATCACATACTTCTACGTGATAGCAACAGCTTTCATGACAAATTTTTTTTGAGGTGTAATCTTATGATACACTGATAATGTGATAGTACATTAAATATGAACCCTTTCCCGAATGACAAGCCTACTACCTTTCATTAAAATATTTATAGGCAAATGCTTTCCCCAATTCGGAAAGCTTGTTTTATACTAAATCCTAACAGATTCCTGCTGCCAATATCCTATGTCTATTCCTTTGGATCATTTAATACTTTCTACAGAAAAGCCAGAATCAGATCCCGGCCTTTCCTTTATGTCTTTCCATCCACTCAAAACTATCCATGGAATCCACTTTTGCTTTGTGTGCAATACTCAAAACCAATGTCCTCCTTAGCATCATGTTGTCCATTGGTCAAAAACTAACCTTTTCCTTTGTGACATGAATATTCAGAAATTATAGACATGGATTGATAACATATATTAGAAGTCCAACACTCAAAAAAGTAACAGGTTCATTCATATAATCTCAACGCTAACCTCTTCGGCAACATTTTCCTGATCTATAATTTGAATTATGCATTGGATTTCTTGGACAACATCCTTCATGCCAGGTCTATCCGCCTTCTTCTCTCTCAGACAGGCAAATGCAAGGTCCGAGAACAGATTAAAACTCTTTAGCATGTTAACTGAGGGCTCCTTGCCAGGTAGCCGCTGATCCACAACTTCCATGATTGCACCATCGCTGGCCCGTTGGTTAACATAAATGGCTAGATTGACATCTTCATGATCTCTTGAGAAGTCAATGGCCCTTTGGGAAGTCAGTAACTCTAGCACCACCACTCCATAACTATAAACATCACTTTTATCAGTCAACTGGTAGTTGCGATAGTACTCAGGATCCATGTACCCAAGGGTTCCTTGAGCACAGGTTGAGACATGGCTCAGGCCTGGGATAGCCAATCTAGAGAGCCCGAAATCTGAAACTTTTGCGTTGAAGTCATCATCTAAAAGTATGTTTGTTGACTTGACATCCCTATGGTAAATGGGGGTGTATGCAGCAGAATGTAGATAGGCCAACGCTTCAGCAGTTTGTAAAGCGATTTTCAACCTTGTTTTCCAGTCTAGAAAAGTGGAGTACTTTCCATGTAAATGATCATGTAGGGTCCCATTTGAAATATACTCATAGATCATCAATGGTTGTTCGGCTTCCACGCAACAACCTAGGAGTCTAACCAAGTTCTTGTGGTTTACTTGAGAAAGAATCCCAACTTCATTGAGAACTTGCTGGGTGCTTTTGATGTTCCCAACTTTAGCTGACTTAACTGCCACAACAGCTCCATCTTGAAGCTTACCTTTGTAGACCTCCCCAAAGCCTCCACTCCCTAGAAACCTGTCTCTAGAAAAACCGTTTGTTGCTTTTTTCACCTCTTTCAAGCGAAACATCTTAGCTGGTTTTCCACCATTGCTTGATTTCAACATGTCTTCTCTTGCCTTCATGAGCTTTGCCTGGTTAGAATTTTTCCATGTTTTTCTGAGAGTAATTGCAGCAGTTGCCAGAGCTAGTGTGAAAATGGAGGTTACTCCTATGGAGACTTTTAAGCTGACGCTAGCTCTAGTGTTTTTCTTCTTTCCCAAGCAAGTTCCGAGAACAGGGTCCCAGTTGTAGCCCTTATTGCAAAGACAGCGAGAAAGGCCGTTTGCACCAGCAGGTGAACACTTAGAAGCACCAGAGCAATCAGATTGGCTTTGACAGACAGGTTCAGGTGGAGGAACCCATTGAATTTCCAACCCCTCTTCCCATTCATTTGCAGGCTTTTCTGGATCCAAATGAAGGATGCTTCTGAAAGCTTTACAACCTGAACTGTGAAGCCTTATTTTGTATGCTGAAGGCAACCCACCCGCAATGAAGGTGCAGCATGGATCAAGTCCACTTGCACACTGCAGTGCTCGTTTTGCTTCAACATGTCCAGAGCTCTCCAAATAACGGTGACAAAGACTAGTAGGGGTGCAATTAAGAGGAGAGACTAAAAGGCGGGGTGAACAGTTGAAGAGAAAGATAGTGTTTGAGGAAGTAACGTTAAAAGGGTGTGTTTGACTTAACCAGAGGCCCTCACTCACAGGCATGTCTTGAGTCACACATTTGCCAGGCAGCCATGGTGATGGTTGAACAACCATGCGGTGAAATGAAGCCATGATTCTGGTAACAAGGTAAGAACTTCCATTCAAGGCATCAAAGTAAAGTTTCTGAGACTGGGAATCACACCTAATAGAATAGCCTGGATCACCGCAGTGGGGCTGTGTACTTAGGGGATATGGAACCTCCATCGAACCACAGCTTGGACAAGTCTTCTGGGAAGAACAGTAATGACCAAGGAAAAGAAGACATATAATATAGATCCAAATGAAAAGTGGCTTTGCATTCAGCTCAGTTAAGATCATCGTGCATGAACACAAGGGAAGAGCTGAAATGGCTATAGCCCAAAGAGAAGGATGCTGGACTAATAAAAAGGCCAGAGAGGGGGAATAAAGTAGGTAAAGCAATTAATCATAATGAAAAGTAGCTGAAAGAATCTATATGAAAAACCATGCCCCCTTTGTCATTTATAGGACAGGTGGATTCCTACTGTATGACATCCCACTACAACTTTCAATGTTGATCTCTTAAAAACATACAAGTGCGTTGGGCAAAGACATGTACAAATTCCACAAACAACATTTTCTTTTAGAAGCACTCAAAGTAATTATGAGTGCAGGGGAATATTATGCTGGAGGAATGACCAAACCATCCATTCAAAAGGACAACATAATTAGCTTGTTGAAGAAAACAAAAACAAATTTTAAGATGAAGAAATAACCAATAAATGCGGCAGCTATATGAACGACAACCACAAGGGAAAAGAGATGGAACTGATCAAAATACAACTTTCTTAGCATGTTTCTTGAAGTTCTAAAAGGGAAATGACATAAAGCAGAGTTGGGGTCACAGAGAAGGGTCGTTTGAATTTCGGCACGTAAACAGGCAATAATAAAGAATGGGAAAGAGGCAGGTCTTCTACTTTCCCCAAACTGTCATCTTCTGTGCCTTAATTCATCCATAGTGAATCCAGCAGGATTGCGCGCTCTAACCTTCAATAACTTTTACAGGAGTCCTGCAATACATATTAATGTTTAAACCAGACTGCCAGAGACGATTCATATATATATATGTGTGTGTGTGTGTGTGTATTCAATTTTATGCTTGGAAGGATTCATTACTTACCCAAATGGGCTTTGTTTGATTGCTAGCAGCTCAACATCCAACTGCAAGTTAGAGAAGAAACAGAAAATGAGGGAAGGATAATGCAGGAAATTATTCATGAGATTAAAACAAAACTTATGGCGAGGAACAGAAATACGGAAAATACAGATCTAGAATGGCTAGGAAAGCTTTCAAACGATCAGCATACAACATCTAGATAAATTTTAGATGCATGATGATGGATACATTACCTCAATTGTTGCATTTGGAGGAATTTCCTGGACTCCTTTTTTTCCATATGCTAGCTCAGGAGGAACGATCAGCAGCCGCTGAAAATGAAACCATTGGTTACAAAACATTTTTGTTTTTCAAATTGAAGGAAAATATGCTCACCCAAGTTCATGGTCACAAATCATACATGAACACAAAGTAATTAGGCATCAACTCAAGTTGGCTCTACTCAAATGGAGGAAAAAGAACTTGTATGCCCATAAAGAACCTGAAATCTCAAAAGGTATATGTGAAGGAATTGTGATTTTCTTATACAATTTGTTTGTTTTACAATATTTCAGTTGATCAAAATAAAACTACAGAATTTTGAAAGCAAAAGGATTATCCATCTAAGTTCTAAGTTATGCTGTCTCTAGTCTTTACAAGAAACAGTAAGGAAATAGCATGCTGCAAACTGATCTCACCTGGCCTCCTACACGCATTCCTTCAACACCAAGATCCAACCCCTTAAGCACATTTCCCATTTCGGATTGGCCAATATCAAATCCATAAGGCTGCACCAATTCAAACATATCCACATTGCCTAAGAGGTGGATGATCTTAAGGAAAGCATAACGATAGATATAACAGATTCAAATCATTAAAGCAAAAAGTCTCTGAAACAGAATGAAGGTAAGTAGGCAAGCTATTTTCATCATAAAACCTAAGACTGAATCTCTATTTGATATCACCCGATCAGAAATGATCTGTCTATGAAATGCCAGGAGTTAATGGACAGTAGAAAATAACAGAATGGAGACCACAGAGCAACCAGAGCAAGTGAAGACAGTATTAATGTCACTGCTAAACAAATTTGTTCTGAATGATATCTGTGAAAACATGGAGAATCAGAATGAAGTTCATGTGATACAGAGTTTGTGCTAGAAGAAAATCTTAACCCCATTCAAACCAAGTATCTCTTAATATCAAGAAGTCTAATCTCAAACTCTTAGTGGATTCGTAAATCTGAATGTCCAATTCATATCATAGGTTACCAATAAAAACATTTGCCTCATGCTGATTTGGCAGCCTACAAGTCTTTGACAGCATAAGGACTAGGGCGAAGAAACTTAGGTTCAACATTTTGGCAGAAGATCTTGTGAATTTTGTTTTACAAATGATGAATCTTGACACAAGAACACGTGAAGTCTCCAAGAAGTTCCATTGAACATTACAACAGTTTCAATATAACAGTAAGATGCGCATTGGTGATTCAAATTTTAGTTTCTGTTCTGAACAATCCTCTGAAAGATTTCTCGGTTTAAATAGCATTCACAGAAAAAGATGCCTGTTAGAGAATAGGCATTCTTTTTGTTAAAAGTCATATGATCAGATAGAGTGCTTCTACTTTTTTATCAATTATGCAGCCTGGCAAGATTTATGCACAGTCCTGCACATTTTACAGCTATGGTGGTTACTAAAGGCATGAAAAGGACTATGGGATGTCTCCTTCTTTCCCTTTTGTTTCTAAATGAAGGATCAGTTCACAATGAATAGTTGCTTCAAAAATGAGGGATAGAATACAAGTGTAGTGTTAACAGTAGATTTATAAGGTGTCAAAATAGTTTTGCTGTTCTTATTTCTAGAATATTAGATTATCCCTTTTCTTTTAAACAAAATACATAATCATTTCAGTTTTACCGTCCCCCCTCCAACACCAAGTCCTTGTCTGCTAGTCATAAACGTGACGCCTCTCCATTTGGCGACATAGTGAACCTACAAAAAAGAATCATATTGCATTAGTTATATTTGAATTTATGGGATAAAGAATCAAAACAATACAACATTTTGGGATTTATCGGAGGTGAAAAAAGAACAACTTCAAATGAGTATCATCCTGATACTATGAATGGGGAACAGGAGCAGTCTTTGATAAGTGAAAGATCACTTACATGTATAAAGTAGAAGCTTTCATCAAATACTAATATCGTTACAGTGCTGGAGTCACTGTTGACATTAGATCAGTGATCATAGAAACATGGCTCTCTAACATTGTGGAAATTTCCCACCAGTAATGACTTTTATGGGATGGACATTAAATTTAGGGTTGCTGTCTTGTTTTTTCATGTTTAGGCTAGATTTTCATATTTTTTCTAACTCCGGAAACATAAAGTTCTATTATTTATGTTGATTTTATTGAGCATCATGTCCCAAATCAGACACATAAATGAAATAAGTGAACTGAATGCAATTGCAGTTCATCATTTACCAGATTTTAATAAGCATTTCTCAATTCAGAAATATGATTAGCTTCTAAGCCTCTCTCATAAAAAATACTCTATATGCAGGTTGGTAGAAAGTAAGGTAAAACAGATCATAATGTATATAGCATAGAGTTTTTTATGAAATCTAACTAGGTCACCACCGTACTGCAACCCGAGATCCCTTAACAGCCTTAAGTCCACTGCCGACCTTCAAATCATAGTACCTGGAGAATATTGCGAATGTTAAAATCAGTATAAGCACTTGCATTGTAGAACAGACATAGAAGAAATACAGCATGTTCTTTTTCAGTTTTTCCTCTAAGCCAAAGAAATAGATGACATATGACATATGACACCTAAATGTAAGATACAATAGAAGCAATAAGCTGCAGCCTGTTCACCATCTATCTGACCTGAAACTCTCAAAATCATGCAGTCTCAGAATAGATACTAATACACTACACAGAATATAATAGCTTGAATATAACATTGTTTTCCAAGTTTAAGATAAAATAAAAGATACAAAAAATTGTTCGCATAAAAGTATATAGAATTAATGAAGGATAGTGAAATTTTACTAACTTCAGCCCATTGGGAAGAGTTGTGAATTCATTTTCAGGTATTTTATCTCCTCTAAGCTGCAAGAACCAGTATGCGGTGCACAAATTATACTTTGTAAGGACTAGAAACCACCAAAAAGAAATACAATGAAGATTGAAAGGAAAGGATGCTTACAGCTCTTCGACTTGTGCTAACTGCCTCAGCCACATCACAGGCATACATTGCAGCAGCTGATGAGTCAAAACAAAAGTTAACAGAAGATTAAATAGATGAATGCATGCATAAGAACAAGTTATTTTGAAGAAAAAATCACTAATTTCCCGCTACGTAACCTCTTTTAACCCCAGGAAATAAAAGTTTAACCAAAGAGAAAACATAAAATGGTATAGATGTAATGCACCAACCAGCTGTGAGGAGAGAACCAACCAGTGCCCTTCTTCCCTCATGCTGCCAAGAAAATTTTGCTGGTTTTGAAGTATCATCAGAAGATGACAATGTGCAGTGACATGGCAACAGAAATGAATTTCTCCTTGGTAGTCTCTTCCCTGAGGATTTAAAGAAGTGCTCAGTTTAATGGCATAAAATAACTATTCATCCAAAGACAAATAGAGAGAAAACCATGGAAAGGCATGGGGTTTACCTGAAAGGGGAACTGAGAAAAGAGGCTCGTGGACGAGAGTTAAGCTGTTTTGGTGGTAAGGGAAGAGGGAGAGTTCCATCGAGAGCTGGTTAAATGACAGTTAAGAAATCAGAAAAACAAGTTCGTTCATTGGAATTTCCACTTTTCCTACTGAAAGAGAGGAGATAACACGGTCAATGCCATCCACATATTTAAAGCACTCCCCTGTACCAAACAAAAAACAGGGTTCCCAAAAAAATATACAACAGATTGCAATTTGCTGTCAATGGAATGACCTGTAATCAGGGACGGGTCCCAGCAGAAAAGTCTATTTGGACCAAATATTTTGGACTACTAGGACTTTCAACCTTCCTTTTGTTTCCCACAAAGCCATTGAACAAGTTCTTGAGTTCCATGATGAATTATACAAAAGCAGCATGACTAATCCACTGCTTTATTCATGTTGGTGAATAGAGGTTTAATAGAAATCTTGCATTCAAGTGGATATATTTTCTTCTAATACCCATAAAAAAGTTCCACTTCCAAGTTCATTAGAATTTAGAAACATAAAGTTATAACTGAAATTAAAACTATGCCATTAGAAATGATTTTCTACATAATTCACCAGCTGCAGTTTTGTTATTCTTACTGCAGGTTTTCTCATTGACATGGATTTTTAATAAGCCTCCAAGCTAACATTAGTCAGTGGTAAACATGAAAATATAATTTTATGCACTAGAACATGATTTCCTTGCATGAACAAGATGTTCCCCTTGCACTTCATCAGAAACAGAATGTCTCCCAAAGCACTTGCTTTCCTGCTTTTCTTTTGCATCCAACTTTGGCTTCATTTTCTCACTTCCTTCCACCCATTTCTTGAATTTTTTAAGCAATTTCTGCCTTTTGGAGCAAACTTGACCACTAGTTGTAGCAACGAAGCAGGGCTTTCCTTCCTCCACCAATGCTGGACCATCCAATTGCTGTTCTATTCTAAAACCTACCATTTCTCCAATGCCTTCAAATTCTTGTTCCAGATTATCTTTATTCTCCTGGTTATACTCTTGCAGCAGTTGATATCGCTTCAGTTCGTACCTCAAGCATGCATTGCACCATCTTAAGTAAATAAGATCCTTAAGTTCAGCAGCTCTTCCCTTTTGAACTTGTTCATATTCATTTGCAAGTTGGTTGTAGACCTCTATTGTTATCCCCTCTTCTTCAGTCTGCAAATGTAAACGTTTTCACAGTTAGATATAAACTCTCACAGTGCCTAAAAGTAAAATTTACTGACCTTTGAGATTGACGAATGTGAATTCTCTAGCAATTCCAACTTATTTGAAAGCTCATTTTTCTGCTCCTGCAATTGTTCAGTGAGAGATTTCAGCTCCATAACTTCATCCTCTAGTTTCTTGACAACATTGGATCTTCCTTCTAGTACTTTACCATTTCTTTTAATTTCTGCATCTTTAGCTCCAATCTTCAAATCTTTTTCTCTTATGATCTTGGCTTGGCCTTTAGTTTTTCTCAAAACCCTCTTTACTTTTCTCTGAAGCAATCCATTCTGTGTTTTCCAATGCTCAACCTGCTCCACAGCTCTTAAGTATTCCATAACTATATTTTTAGCCCTTATGTTCTCAGCCTCCAAGGATGAAATTTCTCTATCCAATAACTCAACATAAAAAGTCTCTAAAAGTAACATATTCCTAAGCTCCATAAGCACAGATTCTTGTTCTTTAAGATCACAAAAACGATGAAACTGCCTTTCTAATTCCCATTCTCTCTTTTGAAGTTCTTCAATTCGCATTCTTAGGCCTACAATCTCTTCTTCATAAGCAGTTCTTTCCTGAATTTCTGAACTGTTAATCTTTTCTTCATCTTCTCCACAAGTTGAAGATGTAGAATTGCCACTACCATCACCTCTAGAATCCTCCTGGGAATCCGTTTCAAGGGGACTTACCTGGGTTTCCACTGAAGAAGCTGCAGGATTTACTCTTCTTTTGGCAATGATCCTAGCACAGATAAAACCTGTCACAGATATTGCTAATGAAATGCCAGCTTTGAGAAGCGTTGGCTTGATTACTTCTGCTTTTGATGATGAACTTTCCATGAGAAAGATACCTGTTTTGGTGATCAAATTGTAAGCTCTCTGCACAACAGAAGTAATGCAAAGGAAAACGAAATCAAAATGTAGGAAAGTTTTGTTTAATTTCTATATGTTCATGATGTGCTTGTTTTCTTATAAAGACATAAAAAAAGATTCTTTGCCTTTATGTTTACATAGCTTTTCTTGGCTTAGAGGGATGATAATGGTTGTTGCTTTTTGACTACTCACAAATGCCTCTTGTTATTTGGAATCTGATTCCTTGACCACTGACATAAAATATGTTAAACTACTAATGTTAACCTTGGCTAGAATTTTTACATACTAAATTTTCATTTTTGTTGTATTGTATCATGTATGTATTTTATCTATTTTGTTTTACATACATATAAAATATAAAAATTATTATATTATAATTTACTTTTAGAAGCAAAACAAAAAATAGTCTTTTGATTTTTATCAAATTTATAAATATTTTTTATTAAAATTTTAAATCATAATATTTTTATATTTTTTTTCAATCCTTGAGTTGTGATAAAATGTGTTATTTGTATGTAAAAAAAATTAAAAAATAAATAAATTATTTAATTCTTAAATCAAAATAAAATATATTATATTCAACGATCCAAAAATCAATGATTACAAATAGTGCATTCACCTAACACCACTTACTCAAGGAAAGCCATCCTACTAATTAAACCAACCTTTTACTGATTATATTATATTTGAAATTGAGGTATAATGTTTGTCTTCTATTTATAAGTTAAAGCAGAAGTAAATAAGTTTAAACCGTAACGTTTTTGTATATTTTTTCAGTCTTCGGATGTGCTGTCTGTATGTAAAAAAAATTCAAAAGCAAATATTATAGTCTTTAAATCAAAATATAATATATCGAATTCGATAATTTAAAACATAATGATTATAAATCCTTCGAGATAACTTTAACAAAAAAATAATCAATTAAATTTAAACCTAATATCATTTAAGTCGAGGAAAGAAATCCCACCGATTGAGACAACTTTATAATGGTTATATTATATTTAAAATTATCATATATAATAGTTATCTTTTATTTGTTAATGCGGAAGTAAATAAAAAAATTTTAAATTAAAGCTCAATTAAAATAAAGTGATATTGGGCTTTCAGTTACTTGACCCAAATCCATCAAATTCTAAATGCAAAATGGGGAGGCTCCTTCGTAAGACTTTGTTTAAAGCTTGAAATGAACCCAAGGTTAGCCCATTTAAAACAGGTCTTTTTGGAACCCAAAAGTCCACAGACATCAACTAGTTTTCTGTTGGACTCGTTTTATATATATATATATATATATATATATATTTTAAAAGCATGTGAAACAAGAAAAAAATACTTAAAAATTTGTATGCACCAACCAATTTTTAAAATATTTTCCACATGAAGATGCTGGGTTGGAAGAAAATTACCATCAATCCATTCTTATATTATTTATTTTGTAAGATTTTGTTGTCCTATTTGATTGACTAATGTTGTCTTTTTTGGCACACGATTGTGAGCCCCTACATATATATATTTATTTATTTGGGTTCATACAGTTTTTTTTTTTCAAGAGGATTAGAAACCAGCAATCAATTTCCGAATTTTATTTAGTCTCTCCAATAATTGATGTTATTTTTGCATATAATTTATAATTATTTTAAAAAGATATGCAATATGATCAAATTTTGTGCTTTAATATTCATATATGATTCTGTTAGATTTAAAGTTATACTTACATGTGATATCAAAATATTCATACATGAAATTGGAATCCAATTATAATTTTTAAATTTTAGTTTTACATCAAATCAATTTTTGGGTGAAATTTGGTGATTGTTTCGATTCAACTTTCTAATCTTATATTTTCAAATTTGATTTGGAGGTTTTGTTCTCTTATATGAGAGGATTAAAACTATATATGAAACATTTCTTAATCCATCTTATAGAGAAAGAAATCGAGTTCTAAACCTTTGAGTTCAATATTGGAACAAATTCAATATTGAATTAAACTTTTGATTTTTATGGGTTTTAATCAAAATTGATTCTTGAATATCATTACTCATGTGTTTTAATTACATGTAATTTGGGTTTTAATTTATCGATTATGAATAAATTGTAGATTGAAAGAACATGATATGAAACCCAAATTGTTTTTATTTGATTAAATTTTATTTATGTTGTTTTGATATGATTTGAAGCATAAGCTTAATAAATTTATGTGTTAATTAAAATTTAAAAGATTTTATTGCATAAAAAAAAAAACAATTAAAATTTGAAGAAAGCTTGAAATGAGTTAGACATAGGTTTAACGATCAAGTTTTTTTTGGGTCAATTGATCTTATTTTTGTAGTTTTTAATTAGTTCTTTCACATGGATTTGATAAATCAATGCTTAATTGAGTTTTCGAGGTTCAATTTTATCAAAATTGTTAAAAAAAATGATCAAATTTTTTTAAACAAGAAACAAATCCGAACGAGTCATAAACAATTCCAGTCAAGTCAGGTCAACTTGACTAGAGGTAGAAGAAGAACATACCCTGTGCCAGACAAAGCTCATGTGCAGGGGGTGATGTGTGTGGCATGTGTAGGCTTGTTTGGTGTCCATTTTTGCTTCAGTTTTTTTTTGGGTATATTTGGAATTTTATTTTTTATTATTTTTTTGAAAATTTGTTATTACATGAAATATTTATTAATTTATATTTATACATAATTTAAAAATTATTATATGTTATACACATGTTTTATGACAAATTATTTTATGATCAAATATTTTAACATGTTAAAAGTCCATTAGATCTACTAACTCACCCAATAAATTGTTTAAATTTTACGTACTCTTCGTGTAAAGTTATGTGAATAATTTAATGAATTTAATAAAATTTAATTTTACTATTTTTTTAACTATAGTCTAAATGTAACATGTTTTGTTTTGAAAGACAAATTAGGCTTAAACTCCACAATGTTTTGGTACATTTAACATCAAATTAATAATTTTATTTGATAATTTCATTTAATGAATAGATAATTTTTAAATAATTATCCATTTGAAATAATTAAAATTTATAATATTGCCAACACTAATTTTTATGTCTTGTGACTGTATTAGATTATATATCATTATTTATTTGTGAAATTTACATTGTAAAAGATGATAAATAAGAATAAATTATTGGATATTGAATATTAATTTATTTAGAAAACATTCAAGATACTCGATTTGAATGTAATAAATTAATTTTTATATAACGAGATACATTTAGTTTAAGTATTTAATAGAGATCATATTTATAATAATCCATCGAGATATATAGTAATGATAAGCTTTTTAAATATTTAACGACCTAAAAAGATAAATCATGATCAAATATCTCATAAGAAGTGATCAAATTGCATACGTTTAATTAAGAATGCAAATTCAAATTATGGGCAATCCCAATTTCCCACCACGAGAATATATAATTAATTAATATAGGTGCTTAGTTATCGAAATAGCTTACTCATTGAAATATGTAATATTTTTTCATGTGGAATAACGGAAATATTTTCAAATAACCTTAGGCAATCACTTATCTAAAGTAGGTTCTTGTATTTGGTAATTTTGCGTAAATATAAAAGTACCATGATTGAGGATATACTGGTTAATAAGGTATGTCTACCTAACGAGGATAAATTTTTTGAAAAATAAGATATTTTTATACTGGTTTCTTGTAAAAAGTACATAATAATATATCATATTCTCTGTTCAAAGGAGAGTTTATAATGATGCCATTGAACTTTTTAGTTTAATTATAATTAACATATCATGAGTTAGTGTTATTTGTATAAATTGTTACTCATATGTAAAATATTAAATTTGTTGTCTTGAATATTATAGTTGATTTTTATGATAAAGATTAAGTAGTTTTAAATAAAAATGATAAAAAATAATTTAAAACTTAATTAAGTTATGAGTGTTTTTTAGATATAATCTTTAAATTTAAATTTTTTTATTGATTATTGTTTGGTTATTAAAATGTTACATTTTGTGATTATAAAAATATTATCTAATAATATAAATCCATAACAAGAATTATTACATGCGTAATTAATAAATTTATTATATTATATTATTTTAATATATCATTATTTGAAGAACTGACTTTATAAATAATTGTATTTACGTAAAATATAAAATATGTTAAATTGAAATAAGCCCAAGGTTAGCCCATATGAAATGGGTATTTTTGGAACCCAAAAGTCCACAGACATAAACTAGTTTTCTTTTGGACTGGTTGTATTTTTTTTTTTCTAATATCTTTTAAAATGCATGTGAAACAAGAAAAAAACACTAAAAAAATTTTAAGCACCAACCAATTTTTAAAATATTTTCCACATGAAGATGCTGGTTTGGAAGAAAATTACCATCAATCCAGTCTTTTTTATTTATTTTGTAGGATTTTGTTGTCCTCTTTGATTGACTAAAGTAGTCTTTTTTGGCACATCATTGTGTGCCCCTACATTTAGATATTGGGCTCATACACTTTTTTTTTGTCTTTTTTTTTTTCAAGACAATGAAATTATTATTATTTTTTTAAGTTTTAACAAAATATTTCATTATTTATTTTTTATTTTTTTAGAAAAAAGCATATGTATAATTACCCTGAATTAAAACTTTTTATTATGTTTATAACCCTAATTAGCTTTTCAGCAGTTGGCGGCCTCCCTTTTCATCTTAGGGCAAGTAGGAAATTATTTTGAAAACTTTTTTTTTTTAATAAAATTGTTGACTTTCAAGTCTTATGCACATATTTACGGACCTTCATTTTATTTTCTTAATCCTAAAACGACTTAAACATATAAAGGGAGATGAAGTCAATTTTTTTTTGTTACAAAAAAATTAAATTATAAACACTTAAATTTAAATATTAAACTTTTTTAATATTATTTTTAAAATAATTATGAATTAATTGAATTAAATTTTTAAATTTGAAATAGAACTTTAATATCACTCTAACTTTGACATTAGAGCAGCAGTCCACATCATAATTAATATTAATTAATTAATAATAAGTAATGTTTGTCCGTTTGTGCTTTGTATTAATTATCGAAGATTAATA